ATACTCCATTGTGTAAATGTACCACTAATCTATTGATGGGTACTTGGGATTGCCTCCATGTCTTGGCTATTGTAAATGACACTGCAATGAACATAGGGGTGCATATATTTTTTCAAATTAGTGTTGTGGGTTTCTTCAGATACATAACCCAGAAGCGGAATTGCTGGGTTATAGGCAGTTCTTTTTAGTTTTTTGAGGAGCCTCCATACTGTTTTCTGCAGTAGCTATATCAGTCTGCATTCCCATCAACAGTGCACAGGGTTCCCTTTTCTCCACATCCTCACCAACACCCGTTTGCTGATTTATTGATGGTAGTCATTTTGACAGATGTGAGGTGATGTCTCATTACCATTTTAATTTGCATTTCTTTGATGATTAGTGACACAGAACACACACACACACACACACACACCCACCTACCCACCCTGGGAATAAATTTAACCAGGGAGGTAAAAGACCTGTACTCAAAAAATTATAAGATACTGAAGAAACTGAAGATTCAAATAAATGGAAGGATATGCCATCCTCATTGATAGGAAGAATTAATAACACTAAAATGTCCATATTACCCAAAGCAATCTGTAAATTGAACACAATTTGTATCAAAGTACCACTGGTGTATTTCACAGAACTAGAACAAATAATTCAAAAAAATTTATGGAGCCACAAATAACCTGAATAGCTTCTGCAATTTTGAGAAGGAACAAAGTAGGTTTCACACTACCTGATATCCAACTATACAAGGCCGTAGTAATCAAAACAGCATAGTACTGGCATAAAAAGACGAACATATAGATCAATGGAACAGAATAGAGAGCCCCGATGAAACCCACATCTGTCAATTAACCTTAGACGAAATAAGAGCATACAAGGGAGTAAAATTTTGTCTTTGATTAAGGTTGAAAGATGTGAAAAAAAAACAACACAAAACAATAAATTTACTCAGTATTGATGTAACTGAAAAAAAAAAAAATAAAGTTGAAAGATGTGAAATCAAAACCTGAACTTCGGAGCACAAGTTTAGACAATTTACATAATTTTCATGCCTATAAAAACAAAATAGGAAGTACTGGATAGAATGTATATAATAGGACATCGATTGCTTTAATTCTTTGGAGGAAAAATCTCCAGCATGAGGTCTCTGCTTTTAAATTTTTACCGAGACTTTTACTACCGCGGGTATAAGACAAAATCCTAATAGTGACTTTTCAGGTCAAACATTCTCTTCTAGTCAGTTTGCTAATCCAGTGTGGTACATGAACTAAATACAAATACCATGGTCTGTTCCACGTTTAATTTTTATGATCCTGCTCATTTATTAAGCAAATAATCTTTGAGATGAAGGGATTAATAGGCTATGGTATGGGCTCTAAAAAGACACACTCAGCTATTTATTAGAACTAAGACACATGTTCAGTTACTACTATTATGGAATACTTGGTGCCTTATGCAAGGGGTGGTCACAGAAGGACCCGAAGAGGTGGTGACTTTTGAGTAGATCCTTAAAGGATGGGCACACTGTTGCTAGGAATGGAATAGAGTGACTTTCGCATTGACTGTAGAGACAAAGCTGTGTTCAGAGTGGCCACTGTTGCAGCCTGAGTGGAATATAGGTTCCATAAAGGCAGTTAGTTTAAGATAGAATGGGACTCGACAAAGTGGGAGATTGGAGGGCTTAGAATGCCATTCTGTTCGAACAGGCAGTAATGTGCATTAGGTCCAATGCACAGAATGGAGCAAGAATGAGCTTCAAGTTCGAGAGAACTTTAGAAAATGCTTAGTGGCCATCAAGTAACAAAGCTCATCTTATAAACCACATGCAAAAGATTGTCTTGTAAGGATATGTAAAGCCTCAATTCGTTGAAGACAACACTGGTCCTTAACTGGAGGCAAGAAAAGGACAGCTTCTTACCATTCTGAAGTTTAAGGATTAGTTGCCATACTATCTCACTAGATTGGCATAAAATGATCCACTAGCATGAGCCTTAGAACTAAACTGCAACCTTTTTCTCTACAATGTATTTAAATCTCTCTCTCCTTGCTCCCACCCATGCATGATCAGGGTCTAAGCAAGGCATAATGGGAATGCTATCTTGGCTCCAGGCACAAACCCAAGAGTGTACCTAACTCGGAGCTTGCTATAATGGCTAAGAGTACGGGCTCTTCAGCCAGTCTGAGTTTAAATCCTGCCCAAGTGCCCACTGCCCCAGCCACTTCCTAGTTTCCCATCCAGAGTTGAGAATGTATAGTATTAGATAATTTAATATTCTTTCTTGATACTAAGAACAAAATGAGACAATAGCTTGTTAAAAGTTAGTTGCAATGTGGAATCTGAACCATACCAATGAAGTTCTCATACTCTAACATTAAAACCCATTGGTCTTCACTATACTTAGAATGGCTGTTTCACCCAGGCAGGATTTTCTAACATTGCACATCGGAGGGTGGAAAATACCATTCACCAGGCGATGCAGATCTTCAAAATGTTAACACATTTCATAATACAATATTTAAAAACCCCGTTACTATTACTACCAGTTATGAGAAAAGTTTTTTTTAAAAAAACTGTTTTTATTAGAGAGAATGAGAAAGGGAGAGATAGAAACATGGAGAGAGAAACATCAACAGCGATCGGCTGCCTCCTGCACACCCCCTGCTGGGGATCGAGCACACAACCTGGGCATGTGCCCTGACCGAAAGTCAAACCTGCAACCTCCTGGTGCATGGGCTGATGCTCAACCACTGAGCCACACCGCCAGGGCAAGAAAAGTCTTTTAAGTATTGAGAAGATGTCAAGTTCACAATGATGAATACAAGCTTGCCAAAATTCTAATTTTCACTTGAAAGCTACAATTTTCTTACTTGCAACAGATATGTCAGGTTCTTATGGCAGACTGACTTTGTTCAGTTTTGAGAAATGTCTACCAAATACCATAGACTTAATAACCATATTTGTCTTAGTCTTATGTTCAAGTAAAAATGGTATTCCGTGGGGAAAAATAAAGAAGTGGATACTTCAGACCCCAAGTGACATAATTGCATTTTTGCAAAATACACATCATGATTTGGTATGCAGAAGTGCTTATACATAATTCCCATTTTGTCATTCCAATTATTAAAGCCATGTACTCAGCAGGTGATATAAAAAATAATTTGTACAGTTCCATCAGACACTTTGAAGTGAAACTGCCATTCAAAATATTCGGATACACGACCATGAAAACGGCACAGTTCTACCAGTAGTTTGTGCTGTGATGCCTTTACACGTGTGTGAAGGGTCAGTGTTTGTTTCTGTGTAAATATCTGTCAGTACCATCTGTTGAAAACAACTTGAAAATGGCTTATCTTTTATAGATGATGTTAGATTGAATTTGCTAATATTTTCAGAATTTTTGTTTGCGGACTACAGCCCTATAATTTTGTTTGTAATGTCTTTGTCAAGTTTTTGTATTAGAGTAACACTGGTCTCACAAAACAAGTTGGAGGTATTCCCTCTCCATCTGTTTTCCATAAGACTTTGTGTAACACTGATGTTATTTCTTCCTTGAATGGTAAAATTTACAAGTAAAACCATATAATATTGGAGTTCTCTTTGTGGGAAGATAATTTTCAACTGCATTAACAGATGTGAGGCTATTCAGGTTTTCTATATCCTTGTGCCAGTTTTGGTGAGTTTTATTTTTCTAATAGTTTTTCAATCTTGTCCAAATTATTGAAGTTATTGGCATAAAAATGGTCATGATTTTGTATCCTGTAGGTTAGGATCCAGAGAGGCACCTCTGATTTCATTCCTGATACTAGTGGTTTCTAATCTCTCTGGTTTCCTTGGTCAAATTAGAAATATTCCAATTTTGTTGCTCTTTTGAGAACTAGATGTTGGTTTCATTGATTTTTTTTCTCTCCACTGTTTTTGTTTTACATGTTGCTGATTTCTACCCTTTATTTTATTTCCATTTAATTTGGGTTTACTTTGTTCTTATCTTAAAGATATAGCTTAAAGTAGAACCTTAGACCACTGAATTTGTACCTCATTGTTTTCTAAGAGAAGCATTTAAATCTATCATTTTCTTTCTAGTTTTTTAAAAATTAAAACGATATACCCTGACCATAACAAAATTAAACTAACAATCAGTTAAGAAAAAACTACCTGGAAAACCCCCATTGTAATTGAAAGTTAAATACACTCCAAAGAATTAAAAACATTTCCCAATTCATTACACTGGAACCAAACAAAGGCCGTAAGAAAAAAAAAAAGCCTACAGACCAATGCCACTCATGAAAACATAAGTGTCATGACCAAATTATTAGCAAATTGAATCCAGCAATACATAGAAAGAACTAGACAACAGGAGCAAGTGGGGGTTATTCCTAGGACACAAGGCTGGTTTAATAGTAAAGAAATTAAGCAAGCAAATTCGTAATAGTAACGGGCTATAAAGAAGTTACATGATAAAAAAGAAATAAAGCTGCCCCGACTGAAGCTGACATGACTGTGGGAACCCCACCACGTTGGAAGAGGGATTCTCAAGTTTGTTCTTTTGCATTTGTTGTTAGTGTACTTGAAATGCTAAAACTAAAAAACTGTCTTCAAACGTTTGATATTCTTCCTCTAGATAATTCACATGTTGTACATCCTGCTCATGTAGGTACCCTTTAAATGTGTTACGTAAATACAAATGTTCAGGCTGTCAGGCAGTAGTACCTCATAGATTCTGGAGACCAACTGCCAGCATTGGTATCTTGGCTGTGCCACTGAACTCTGTTATCACTGTGGGCAAGTTTAACTTCTCTGCTCAATTCAGTTTCCTCCATTACATAATCCTGACAACAGTACTGAGTCCACTGGGTCATTAATGGATTAAAAATGAAAATATGTGCATGTGAGAAAAGTGTCTAATGTATAGATAGAGCTCAATAAATATTACTCATATTATTGCGGATATATGAAATAATGTCCCCATCCCACTTAATGTCCTCCCTCTAATCAAAGAATGACAACATTACTTACAAAAATTTAATGTTTGAGGATTTTCATCAAAGAGCAAATGACAAAAATTAGGAAAGCAAACAAATAGATAATTTGTAGCAAAGGAAAGAAAATTAGTACACATGGCAACAATACTCACCCCACGGGTTATTTACACAATACTAGTTAAATAACAATGAAGTGCCATTTTATAACTAGTAAGTTATAAGTATTAAAATTAACAGCCTTGCTGACTAGGCTGTGGCCAACAGGTATACTATATTGTGACAGTGTAAACTGTTTTGGCAAATAATTTGCAATGCATTTGAGAGAAAATAAAAATTTTCTCATGTCTGTTCTATGTGATATTGGGCTTCCTGTAACTCAGCATTTACTAGTACTCCCCTAGCCTCCCACAGTAGTCAGGACTAATTCCAGATTCAATCCTTTTCAAGGTATCCCATAATATCAGTTACCTGAGTGCTATCTGACATCCTCACATATGTATAAAAATGAAGAATGAAAAATATTAAACCCATGACCAAGAAGTATCAGCATATATTAGGGAAAGGAAAAACAAAGGAATTAGAACTGAAATATGAAGGGATGTGGGATCAAAATAATATACCCAAGATCAGATGAGATCATGTCAGAGATTTCAAGATTCAGAGTTTGGAGACACTGGTGATAATATACCTATAGACACTAACAACTATTCTTAGGTTGTTTGTCAGCACAATCTTTTGAACTGGAGAGTAGAAGACACTAAGAAACAATCAAATTTTGAGTTCTTTTGGTTAAACAGATGGATCTAATTTACTTACAAATATCTTAGACTGAAGAAAAAGGTAAATTTTATTTGGTATGTTGGCTTCTACATTCACACCCAACAACAGATTGTTATTGATTAGATTGACAGAAGTATTGGGAGACTTCAGATAAACTTGCACCAGAGAGCAGCAAGCAACATACCTTTCTCCTAAACTCCTACAGAAATATTTATAAATTTTTTAAAAATGTACGCATGTACAGATCAATTACTGAGCATCTAGAAACATGATATTCAAACATCACAAAATGGGAAATAGGTCTTGATTTCTGTCATTTGAGTCTGAATCAGGGATCTAGCATTGTGTTCTCAAGAAACTAACCACAAATAACTCAGAATGTGCCTAACACCTTGCTCTGTGTTCCCGTTGTTGGTCCAGCTCCTTGCTTTTTTATTCTTCCTTACCTAATGACTTTATTAGCAATAGAAAATACATTAATATTATCTTAGGAATTAAACTAAAAGCTGATTATCAGCTATATTTATCCCATAATCTAATTTTACCTGTTTCTTTGTATTTTTGCTTTTACAAACGGAATTTCCCACCAAACAGGTATCTCAGGCTCCCTACTCTACAAGACTTGTGTAAGAAAAATAATTGATGACATGCATAAAATCACAATCACAGTAATTGGGCCATAGTTAAACTAAGAAAAGAGAAATCATATTCATTTATAAGTGATTATATAAGGGAAGAGAAAATATGGATCAAGTAATAAAAAACATTAAATCTTTATATAAACAAATGAGATAAATCCCAGGTTCTTTAAAAGTCTGTTTAAAAAGCAGGTCAAGGTGAAGAAGTAAATTCATACTTTAAACTTCCACATGTGATCACTTGGGTCCTTTTGCCTTGGCCTTGGTTTCCTTTGGGACCTTTCCATTCTGACACTGAGTAAATCTGGCTACTGTAGAAACACCATCCACAAACTTGGTTTTGAAAAGGACGTTTGCATTGTTGAACATACCTTCCTTTAGGGACACCACAATGAACTTAAGGGAAATAAAAAAAAGCATAAAAGATACTTTTTATTATATTCTTAAAGAAGTTTACTTTTTAAAACTAATGAGGTTAAATAATTATTTGGAGATATTTTGATTCTTGAAACTCACACCCTCTAATGTAGGTAGCAACTAGTTATAATATTAGACATCTAAGCTTATTCTAGCTTTTCATATTTGTTTTAAGAATCTCTTAATTTTACCTTGATGGCTTCATTATCCAGGTTTACATTTCCTGCTGCTTGACAGCTTGTTGGTCTTCTGTAGCTGACAACTACTTGTTGTTAGCTCTAAATGCCCTAGTGAAATATTTTAATACTACCAAGGTCTGAAGTTCCTACAGCATTCCCACGAGCTCAAATGGAACATTTATATTTGTATAATTAATAGGTACCAATTCACTGTTGTCTGCAAATAACTGCCATAATGAATAGTCTATGGTAACTATGGTAAGTGAAGACCCGAGTTGTATAATGCATGATCTATAAACCATATTTGGCAGCCCCAGTTCAACACAAACAAACGGTTCTTAACTTAAAGGGGCTGCCTCTACTGTCTAGCCAGGAGAAATAAAGAGTACCCTACCAAGTGCCACATGATGTTCTGATACCTAGGTATATATCTCTGAAACATGTTTGTTCTGACTGCACCTCTGGCAGCTATCTAGAAAAATAATTACATTTAAACCTAAATTAATTCCTAACTAGGAAAATATTAGATTCTCCTTCATGCTACAACAATTGTAATGTCTGACTTTTTCTTTAATAGGAGACCAAACTCAACTCTTTCATTCTAAACCCATCTGAATATTAATAAATATTTAAAGAAATATACAATGCTTTAGTATTCCTCAATTTTAAATATCTTATTAATGGTGACCACTACTAAAGAATAGTTTCAGAAAAACAAATACTAATACTCAGACTTTCTTTATCCTTTTTAAAAATGAAGACATTCTGTCTGGTTCTTACCTGAGAATGTGTGAAATGAGTACGCAGCATCTGCCCAATGTTCTGGGTGTGAGAAAGATCCAGGGCTGCATCGACCTCATCCAGGATGTAAATTGGAGCAGGTTTGAAGAGGAGCATGGACAATATTAATGACAAAGCCACCAATGACCTAAGAAAAGTGTACAGAAAGCTGTCAAAACTTGATTTTTACCACTTTTTACCAAAGAACTGAAGCAAATCTGCTATGCTCTTATTATGATGCCAGAAGCCAGTTCCAGCATGTCATAATTGCAAGAGTTTCATCGAAAGGTTGATGAAACTTGGGGACTCAGCAAGGGCTGAGTCACATATTTTGTCACCTGTTGGAAATGGCTAAAGGCATTTCCCTAAATCCTGAAAAGCAGCAGTTCTCAACCTGTGGGCTACAACCCCTTTGGGGGTCGAACGACCCTTTCACAGGGGTTGCCTAAGACCATCGGAAAACACATATAATACATAGTTTTTGTGATTAATCACTATGCTTTAATTATGTTCAATTTGTAACAATGAGATTGGGGGTCACCACAGTATGAGGAACTGTATTAAAGGGTCACGGCATTAGGAAGGTTGATAACCACTGCAAAAGGGATGACTGCTTGCTGCCAGACAGCTCAGGGTATCTTAATTTACATGTTATTGCCTCCTATTGGCCAAACACCTGAATAGCCGTAGGCAAATTCTTCCAATCTGACAATGGGCTCTGTAAATGAAACCTGACCCTTTGATGTGTATAGCTCTGCCTAGCCTCAGGACAATTTGTGTTAATAAAAAGCATGGGGTCCTGAGAGGAGGAGATCTTAGTTTCTTTAGCTAGGCTCCTCTGACCCCCAAATGCCTTTTAAAATTATGTTTCTTATTAAGGTATACACAGCCCTTCTCCAGATTGCTGAACCCTTCTAGATGCTGGAACAAGAACCCTGGCATTATGAAAAGTACAGATTTTAGCTAAGAGATAGCCACAGAAAAAAAGAACCTTAAGTTTCAAACTTCAACACTTGTATCAAAATGTCTTTCATTTTAAGCCTTTCATTTTTTCCTTTCCCCAGTGAGTTTTATTTTTAGAACAGGTTTACTGGTATATTCTTCTTTCCAAATAATTAGGATATCATATTCGGCACCTATCTTTAAGAAAACATACTAAGTGTTAATAGTTTATTTCCTTCCACAATTGCATTAGATGCCTAGGTAGCAGATGAGTGAGGGCTATGTACACTTGTTAAGTAACAGCTACTGTCTTGGTAACAGTGTAACTCGCTTAGGTGCCCTCTTTCAAACTTGTACTATGTATGCATACATGTGCACACACAAAGTCTATCCATTTTTTATTGGCACATTTGAGTACGTTGAACAGATTATGGCCCATTACTCTAAGTACTTCACAGTGCCAGAGGTTTAAGCAATCCTTATGGGATGGTTAATTCTGTCAACTTTATTGAATCACAGGATGCCCAGATGTCTGGCTAAACATCATTTCTGGATGAAATTAGCATTTGAATGGGAACTCAGTAAAGCAGTCTGCCCACCACAATGTGGGTGGACAGTAGTCAGTCCGCTGAGGGCCTGAATAGTAAAAAGGTAGAGGAAAGAATTCTTCCCTCCCTGCTGATTACTTGAGTTGGGACATGAATATTTCTGCCCTGGCTGCTCCTGGTTCTCAGGTCTTCACACTCAGACTGAAATACCACTGGCTTTCTTGGGTCTCTAGTTTGCAAACAGCAAACGGTGGGACTTCTCAGCCTCTACAATAAAATGAGCCAATTCCTTATAATAAATCTCTCTCTCTCTCTCTCTCTCTCTATATATATATATATATACACTCCTATTTAAAATTTGTTGTGACACCCACTCTTAGATTCTGCAGCTCTTTTAAAGTTCTCTTCTAGCTAACCATTCCCTTTAACTGGTAGCTATTTTCATTCTAATCTGGTATAAAGAACTGTAATAATTTGTATTTTAATACAAAATGTAATTATTCAACATTAGAAAATTACAAGAGAATGTGTAACACACTTTTTCTATAATATCAAATATCTCCTATATGCAGCACTAGAATGAACTGTCACTTTAATGCTTACTGTATTCCAATAGATATTTATTAAGAAACATGTGGGGAAAATGTGCACAAGCAGAGGGGGTCTAGGAGGTGAAATCAAAATGTCTAGCAAAGAAAATGAATGAATGGTACAATAAAAAACAAGTAACAGAGTGAAATGTGCCTCTATGGCAGGTAGCTGAGGTCATTCTAACAACCTAAAATTATTTTCCATTTGCTTCCTCTGTGCCAAATGTTTAAGGCATTGCGTTTTAGAAAAATAAAAAACCCACACCAGGGGTTAAACTACTTTGCTGAATATTGGTACTGTTACAAATAATTTTATCCTCATCTTAATTATGGAAATAATTTTTAGATCCTAATAAAATAAACATGCATTTTATATTATCCTCAAAATATTTTCTAGGACTTTGGCAAAAACAGATGACTAGGATCTAAACTGTGGAATTCAATTTTGGTTGACAGGCAATAGAAAAAAATTATGAATTTTATTAATGAAAAATAGGGCTTGCTATTTTAATAAAAACGACAAAGGATTTCATAAGGAAATTAACAGGTCTTTCTTAGTATTTTCTATGTACATAAGAGTAACATGGCATTCTGGGGCATGTGAGAATAATTCAAGGACTATGGACTATACCTCTTGCGGGAGAAATATTAATAACCAACCATCTTCAATTATGTAAACATTCAATCACAATTTTGTCTTAGGAAGTTTTAATTACTTGGTTCTCTGCAGGTAAGGAGTCAGGCCATATGACCGTATCAATTTCTCCTGGTACTGACTGACTGAATCACCAAGAAAGGCTGGGAGAAACTTCCCTGAACCCCATTCTTTTATGGAGGTCTCACTTTCTCTCAGGTACCGTTTTCCTTTCACCTCAGAACATCCTTAACCTGTACAGTTCTACCGGGATCAAATCCTTACGTTTCCATTTCTCTCATCACATTCTTTTTTTGTAATTTTTGGAAATGGCTAATGTAACTACTTACCTTTCTAATCTGCTAGCTTTATCACCTATCATTTCTAGGTCTGTTTCCACTGATTTTTTCTCTAGGGTATGAATCACATTTTTTCTTAATATCTGTCTAGTAATTTTTATTAGATGCTGCACACTTATTGTGTTGTTCAGAGTCTCAGTTTTGTTGTCTTTCTTTAAAGAGTGTTGGACCTTGTTCTGAGAACCAATTAAGTTACATGCAGCTCAGCTTTATTCTTCAAGGCCTGCAATGACCTTTGCTAAGGTGCATCTATCGTGGCCTTCACTTCAGGGATAATACAGACTTAATGCTAATCCTTGTTTCCTGAATTTAGTGAGACTACTGGGCTTTGTGTGGATTTCTCTCACTGCACCTGCATTCCAGAAATTGCTCCCAGGAAGAAAGCTGGGGTACATATTCTGGACTACTCATTTTCTACTATCTGAAAATAATTGTTTTTCATCTACTTTATCTAGGTTTCGAGTTCATTATTCTTACATTTTTGCCTACCATTTTAACTAAATGTTTTAACTAAAACGTTTTAGTCCAAGCATGTCAAACTCGCAGCTGGCAGGTAGTCTTACATAATAGGCTTCTTAAATTCTATACGCAAAGAGAGTTAAACACTACAAACTGAAATAAGTGGTAGACAATGAGATGATGGGCAATAATAAAATAAGAGTAATTAGTAATTATAATGAACCTAAGGGATTACTCACCTCTGACCACCACTAAGTTCAGTTAGGTTTTCTTTCCAAGTATTTCCTAAGGCAACCTTGAACTCCAGACCATCCAACACGGTTTGCCCCTCTGGTGGTGCAAGCATAGCATTAGCACCAGGCAAAAGAGTAGAAAAAATAGACCCAAAGTCCTTGTTCACCTGGGAAAAAAAGAAGATATTAAAATACGATAGTTTCCTAAAATATCAAATATTGACAGGTGTATATGTAACCCAACAATGCATTTTGCTGTTACTCTAACTAGGGTTGACAAATTATGGCCCATATGACAAATCTAGCAATACCCATTCAATTATGTATTTTCTATGGCTGCAAGCACTAAAACAATGTAGTCTAGTAGTTGCAACAGAGACTATTTGGCGCTCACACACATAAAAAATATTATATGTCCCTTTACAGAAAGTTTATTACCTGTTCTAACTTCCAGAGGGACCTAGAGGCTATACCTCAACTCTACTCTGAAGTTTTGGTAGTTTTGTGAGCTATCATACAGGAATCCTCAGACACATGACTGTACATAATAGGAGATTCAACTTGTGGTTAGAGAAGGAAACATAAAAGAAAATCTCTTTTTGCCATAAAATGTTCTCTTATAAAGCTTGTTTTCTGTTGAATGGTATGGTAAGATGGCCCTGTGGTTATCAGCTAACCTTAAAAGCCTAGGATGAGCAGGGTGGCTCTAGGAGAAAGAGGCCTGAAATCAAACCACCAGACCTGCTCCAAGTGTTGGATGGTTCTCTCTATGCTGCTTCTCATAGCCAACGAAGTTGGGGTGACAAAGGGTGGGCATAGCAGTCAAATTCAAGAGAAAGAGGCTAAAGAAGCTGTTTGGCTTATCTTCATCAAGGCACAGTAGGAGATTACAGAGATTTAGGGCCAATAGGGTAGCTTATAATTGGGTAATTTTTGTGCATACACACTTAATGATTTGAGAATTCGGCCATCTGTTCTCAAAGACATGACTAATAACCTTAGAGAGTTCAGACAAATTTGAGGGTGTATACACTCACACACACGGTCTTGACACCCAGGTTCTCTAGGGAAATCTCCAAATTCAAATAAAGGCAAATATATTTCTCATGAGTATTTTTAGTAATAAGGAAATCTTAGACACAGCAGTGCTCCTGAATGTAGATTTACTAAGATTGCATATTTTAAGAGCAACTATACACATGCTAAATAATAATCTACAGGGAAGTGGAAAAAATGAGAATCCTTGAAATCTTCCAAAGTTGTCATAAAACAAAAATGATAATTGGGATTTTTAAAGTAAAGAGTCCAGTAAAAGAGAATATCAAACTTCCTTGTTTACTGCCCAGTTGTTAAAGAATAAGGGTGATAGTAGTTAGGCATAAAAGGCAGTTTTAACTTGGGTACTAATTTAGAAAAAAAACCACCCCGTTTTTCTACCTTTTGGCTATATGATCTTTGTAGGCTATTGCATTTTTGTAAGCTCTGGTTTCTTCATGTATTAAGTAGGGATAATAACTGCCAAAGTTATGGAATTGTTTTAAGATAATTCATTTAAAATTAACAGTTAATTTTTAATACGTGTTAATAATACTTATTAATTTGTAAGTGGTAAGGAATGTGCAAATCTTACTATGGAAACATTCTTAGAGCTAACATTTGACCTCTGAGTTTGGGCAAGAAGAACAAGGGAGGGTAGAATTGAAGGAGCCCAGGGAGAGCTTTCCAACAATCAGATTCCCGATGAGAAAATAATACTGCTCCAATCTCGAGCAGAGGGTGCGCGGGCAGTATCTGAGGTTTCTTCCAAATATAAGAGCCTGTGATCTCATGGGAAGGAAATAGGACAAATAGTGTCCCCTTTAACAGGGTAATAAAGAATTAGGAAATATTATAATCTAGGAACCAGAGAAGTAGACTAAGAGAGAATGATGGGATGACACACACTTACCTTTGCAAATTGGTAGTCAAGTCCTTTAGGACAAAATGCCTGAGGTCTATGAGGTTTTAATTTAGTATGCGCAATACCTCCTCCAAACACAAACCAGCCATTTCCAATTCAACTTAGAGTATAACCTATTGCCAGTATTCTTCATCTTTGCCTCACATAGAATAAATGATACTAGTTTTGGTTCAAATACCTTTTGCCAAGCAATGTTCAGGGCTTGGTTTTTCTTCTGGTCAAGGTCTTCTATAGTTGCAAGTATTTTGGATTTGTCATTTTCTACAATTCTCTTCTTCTTCATCAAGTCATTATACTAATAAGATAAAAAAAACACATACTTTTTGGAAAAACAAAATTTTCTATTTCTATTCTAGAATTCAGTCAGGAATAAAGAGCTTTCATTATTTTGTATACATTATATTATGTACGCTCTTATTTACCAAAAAGATATAGTGTATTAATAGTTATATTTACTTTCCAATAGTTACATTTACTTTCCTTATAATTGGTATAAATTATATCACCTATATGTAAAATTTAGTTATTATAGATGAGAATTTGTAGGACAAGCACCTAAAATATTTTGACTCCACTAATATTCCCTTTCTAATATTCTAGAAGCCAAGACATAAAGAAAAATATGTCATATGTAAACTCAAAAGTAGCCCTGCATGCTTTCTCTTTAAGGTTAATCTCAGCAGTGACACAAAATTTCACTTCTTCACCATGATATACAAATGCTACATCATCTGGCCTTTATTTATCTCTTTTTGATCTCACACTTTTCCCCAGGCAGGCTGTAGCCATATGGTCTTTCTTCAGGTCCTTGAACATACACCAGGTGTACTGGTTAATAATGGGGATTTTGTAATCACAGAAAACACAAAAATTTTAAGAGAAACATCAAAAGTGCTTTACTCAAAGTAATGTCCATTGCTAGCTCCATATTTCCCCCATCTTTCAGGTAATTTGTGGATACTGTCCCAATAGAACTTTTCTTGTTTCGAGGCAAACCATTCAGAGACCTAATTTTCCACTTCTTCGTATATTTTGAAGTGCTGCTCAGAAAGTGCGTGTGCCATCGATGGGAACAAGTGGTAATCTAAGGAGCAAGGTCTGGTAAATACCTTGTGGGTTAATACTTCCCAGGCAAGGTCTTTTAAGGTGTCTTTAACTGGTTTTGAAGTGTGTGATGGGGGTGTGTCATCATGAAGCAAAATTCTTTGTCGTGTCTTCTGGCACATTCTGGTCATTTTACAATCAAAGCGTGGTTCAAATTGATTATTTGTTGTTGGTAGCCATCAGTATTAACAGTTTCACATCATAATACACCACACCTTCCTGATCCCACCAACCACAGAGCATTGTCTTCTTTCCGAAGCGATTTGGCCTTGCAGTCGATGTTGATGGTTGACCTGGATCAACCCATGATTTTGTGCTTTGGGGATTCTCTAAATAAATCCACTTTTCATCTCCAGTCACAATTCGATGCAAAAAGACTTTCTTTTGTGCCGTTGAAGCACCGTTTTACTGATGACTTTTCGGTTTTCCATTTGTCTTTCATTCAGTTGATGTGGCACCCATTTTCCTTCCTTTAAAATCTTTCCCATTGCTTGTAAACGATCGGAAATTGTTTGCTGAGCAACGTTTAATCTTTCTGCAAGTTGTTTTTGAGTTTGGCACCCATCTTCATCCAATAATGCTTGTAATTGTTGGTCTTCAAACTTTTTCGGTTGACCTGGACATTCTTTGTCTTTCACATCGAAATGATCCCTTTTAAAGCATTTAAACCAGCGTTCACAAGTATCTTGAGATGGAGCATGTTCACCATAAGCTTCCTGAAGTATTCAATAACTTTCAGCAGCACTTTTCTTCAAAATAATGAATTAAAACTTCCCGCAAATGCTTTTTTTGGGCACGAAATTTGACATTTTTAAATGTAAAAATATCTGATGTTAACACCTTCAGAAAATGTGACATAGCAGTTTTAAAGCTTGCTGCCAATACGACAAAATAGCATACATATCAAATCACATATACACTGAGTGGCCAGATTATTATGACCACCCCATCAGTACAATGAAGTGAATTAGTTATGCAAATAATAAAAATAATAAAACCTTGGGAGTATTTGCTTAGGAAGTTTTCAATATTCAGTATTTTTGGAAGTGTTAATGAAGTACTGATGGGGTGGTCATAATAATCTGGCCACTCAGTGTATATCAACATATGTGTAACTCCATCTAGTGAAAAAAGTCTGCATTATTAACCGGTATACCTGGTAAACTCACTGTAACCTGATCTCTCTTCCTGAACATTTTTCCTCTACATCTGACCTAATTGGTGCCTCAAATTTCAGCTCAACATCACATCTTCACTGGCCTTTCCTGGTTAATGGATAAATTTTCTGGAAAAAAATTTGAGGTAGGCTGGCTGCAAAGGGATAATTATACCATGAGTAACAGAACTTCCTAAAAAGCCTCACATTTCAAGGCCCTTAAAAGCTCCAGCCAGTCCTGCTAGCACCTGGATGCTCCTCTTCTTTATGGCCAAACTCCTCAAACCTCTTTCCATGTTTTTATCTTATTCCTTGCATAATTCCATGTAGTAGTTTCTTATGTAGACAGACACATTACACCAACAAAAGGCCATCTGTTGACCAATAATAGAGCTTTCCTCTCTGGAAAGGAGATGGAAGTTGATGAATTCTTTTAAAAAATATTAGACCCAGTAATCATTATCTAATAAAAGCGAACATGTTTCATGATGTTCCGCAGCACAAGTTCAGGCTGACAGTTTACTTCCCCAGTACATTGCAAAGCTTTAATGGAGAAATGAAAACCAGCAGGAACATTTTATAGAAATCACAACATGCACATTATTAGCCTGTTTGTATGTCAACAGTTTTGTGGTGTTGTTATTAAACTCATTAGAGCAAAATTTCTTAAAAGTAATTGAGCTCATCCTAAGTATTATCAGTTTTACAGAGCTCTCATTAACTCCATCATACAAATTCAAATGAAATTTTGTAGAATTAAAGAAGGTATAGGGCATAATATAAAATTACTCTGACTGCTAGTCAAGAATAGGGCTTGCTTTCCCCTCTGGATTTTCCTAGGGACATGGCTGACTATAAATGTTTTGTCAGAGTAGGGGAGATGGATAACATTATAGAGCAACTGAAAGCATTACATAGCAAATGCTGCTGGAATTACAGATTAGGAAAACATTGGTTACATATATAACAGTTTTAATCTCTATTTATATAATGTTTCCAGTATACACTGGAGATTGGTAAGGAGGCAGTATACCTTATTTTTCTTAGCCTCTCAAGGTAAGTGAAACAAATGGTAATAGCAATGTGAAGCATTAACATGATCTGAAAGTATTTTTATTTATACCAAGAATAAGAGTAGAACATATTTATGACAAAAGGGCAAAGCCAGCAGAAAAGTCATTCAAGGTACAACAGAACGTATGAACAAAAGGTATTGCAAAAAGAATGAAATAAGAAAACAAAGAACTGAAAAGGGAGAAAAAGGAAACCAGGGAAAAAGCAAGTACCAAAGACATGAAGCAAAAGTTTGACCCTAATAACCACCTCAGAGGTTATACAAAGCCATTGAGGCTACAATGCTATTCATGTTCTAACATTGCCAGCCATAAGAAAATGACTTACCCGCTCTTCCGCTTCTGTTAGTACATTCATAGCTCTCATGTTGACATTTCTTCCTAGTTTTTCCTTCATTTCTTGCAACTTCTGAAGTCTCTGACCAGCTTCTTTTGGGTTATTAGTTTTGAAATCATAGGCACTATTGGGTAGTCCAAAGAGGTGTTTCTCTGCATTAATCCAGTCATAATCTTTCAACATTTTGGATACCTAGTCACATGATGAGAAGGATCTATCATTGTGTATAAAGCTACATTTAAATATTTACTAATTTTAAATCAAACACTTTGGAGGACAACACCACAATGACTCACTTGAAAAAATGAGGTTTACTGTTGACAGTGAACCAACCTATAATAAGTATGAGTATTTTTACCTGGAAGCCAGGCCCAAGAAATTAGGAAGTTTTTTTTAAAAAATATAATCTATTACTTAAGCATGATAATAAAGCCAACTCACAGAAATTTTTATAATGTATATGTATGTAAAACATTTCCATTGGAATGAAATGTAAATCAGATGAGGCTTCTTAGATTTTACCAAATTCAATCATTGCTTCAAAAAAAAAAAAGACAACAACCACCTGTAGCCCAACTGGTGTGGAATCAGTGGTTGAGTGTCAACACATGAACCAGGAGGTCACAATTCAATTCCCAGTCAGGGGGCATGCAGGAGGCAGCCAATCAATGATTCTCTCTCCCTTTCTCTTTCTATCTGAAATCAATAAAAACATATGGAAAAATGTAGTGTTTAAGGTTAGTTTTGACTAACAGAATAATATTTATCAATTTGTTTCTTTCTTAATTCCCTGGGTATGGTCTCATCTTCATCTCTAGGCTGTCTTCCCTACTGATACATAAACTCTATGAAGGCATTCTGTGTACATGTTGCTCATCCTTTTATCTAGCATCTGATACTAGCTGGTAATAAATATTTGATAAACCATGTATTTCAAAGGATCATTGACTTTTCAGCAGTTCCACTTTCAGGTACCTTTCTTAACCACCTTAACTGTAAATAAAATTCCCTACCAGTCACCAATACTAGCGTTTTTAATGACCAAAAAGGCTAATGGGAAGTCAATACTAATAAAATATTAGGATATTATGATGTGGCTATAAAAAAACTTTTTTAGACAGAACCTAGACACAGAACCTAGAGACAGAAGAACTTCGCTGGAGAGAACATGGCAAAAGATACTGGACAGAAACTGGAGACAGAACCTAGAGACAGAACCTGGATAGAACATGGCAAGAGAACCTGACTAGAACCTGGTGACTGAACCTGGCTGGAGAACCTACAGAACCTGGCAATAGAACCAGGCAAGAGAACCCAACCATGCTGATCCACTGAAAAAAAAAAAAAAAAAAAAAAAGGAAAACATGACTCAAGTATATGTTGTCTACAAGAGACCTACCTCAGAACTAAAGATTCATATATACATATACTGAAAGTATAGAGATGGAAAAATATTTTCCATGCAAATGGGAATAATGGGGCGGGGGCGTGGCAAGACTCATGTAATACTTTAAAGAATAAAGAATTTAAATAAAAAAAAAAAACTTTTTTAAAACCAAGTAATTAACCTAAATATGGCTCTTTCAGGGGGTGGAGAGACTGTTTTGTATACTGTGATCTTTTTGAAGTTAAATCTGTTGTACATTTATGATGCTAAAAAAAATTTAAAGGCACCAAACTGTTACATACTCGTAAGAAAACTCAATAAGTAAATTATTTAGAATAATGGATGCAGCCCATTAACCAAGCAATGAATTTCTCCAAAAGCGTGTATTTTCCTTAGGATACCTAAAACTAAGTGACCAAAAACAAAACAAAAAAACCTGAGATAGCCCAGCCGGTGTGGCTCAGTGGTTGAGTGTTGACCTATGAACCAGGATGTCAGGGTTTGATTCCTGGTCAGGGCACATGCATGGGCTGTTGGTTTGATCCACAGTAGGGGGTATGCAGGGTACAGCCAACCAATGATTCTCTTACTGATGTTCCTATCTCTCTATCCGATATCAATTAAAATACATTAAAAACCAAACAAACCTAAACCCGAGATAATATAAAAAAGACAACTGTTTGGTAAAACGTCAGATTTCAGATGAGGATGCAAAAATTGATTATATTGATCCTTAGAAAGACATCCAGAAGCCAATTAAGTTCAGAAGTTGCCTGTATGTACATTTCTGTGAGTCTTTAAATCCAATGTGAAATAAGGTAAAGAATATGTATTATTACTACCAACACATTAGTAATAGTTCTATGAATACTGGGGAGGAAAAACCAGTCATTTGTATGGGAGACCATTAAATATGTGGTAAAAACACCTTGTAGATTGGTATGAATACCTGGAATTAAATATAAAAACATTTGTGCCATTGGTAAAAATGCACATCGCTGAGCAGTTAACGTAGTTTTAAAGCTTCAAAATTATGTTACACAGTAGTTCTGCCATTTATACTTAGTTCTTCATCCAGAAGTTTATTGGAATATCTCAATAACCCAGAAGCAAAAATATGACTAAGGGTAATAATGAATACAAACATACCTTTGCAGCAGCATCTTCAGCTTCCCGTTTATGTTTGCTGATGTTGTGGTCCAGTTCCTTAATTTTAAGCTGAGACTCATTGTTTTGTTCCTTATGCTTTGCCACTTCTGCATATTTAGCTTTAATTACATTGTCCTGGGCTGTTATCACTTCTTTTTGCTTGGTCATCTCTTCTTGAGCTTTATTTAATGATTCCTGAAACCAATAATTAGACGATATATAGCAAGGATATAGGAGATATTTTTAGTTCACTAAAAGATCATCTAACAGCCTTCTGGGTAAGATAGCAATGTGACTACAGGCAGTAGTCACATACCCTCTATATATTATATCCCATTAAAATGACTAATAAAACTTATACATAGAAAACTGCGATTTCCACTAGGAAAAAAAAGAGATGAGATGCAGTGATTATGCTGGAGGCAACAAAGTTTTTGCTGAATATAATGTAGTTAGCATTAATTGGGGCCAGGAGAGACTATTGGAATCTGACCAGTGAGATTTCTCGAAAAAGTAGCAATTCTGGGTAGTTAATAAGGTAATCTGATAAACTCCCAAATGACACTTATCAGGAGGAGCAAAAAACAAGGGTAGAAATAAGGTAGGCTGGGATCTGTTCATTTTCCCTTCTGTAGATGTAAGCCACATTACCTTTATCAGTAACAACGGAAGGTCACTGTTTGGTTCTAGAACAGGGGTCAAAACAGGGAAATGGAAGAAAAAGGAACTTTTTTGAAGAACTAGATCTGTGGCACAAAGGAAAACTTCCTGGTCTGACTTCTATCCCCCAACCTCAAAGTGGTCATTACACCTGGAATTTAGTCTACCACCAATGCTTCTCCGTAGATCTTAACTCACACAAATACCTACAGACAAAAAAACCTAGGTCAACTTGTATTTGGGTGATGGAAAACAAATAGGACAACCTGCTCTCTAAAAGACTCAGGAAGAACAACCTGATTAAAAGTGAATGTAATAATTTTTTTAAGCATGCTCATAAGGAAACAATGTAATTTTGAACAATAAAGAATACTTGACATTATGATTAGGTTACTGAATATGCCCAAAATGCTTTTGCAGAAGGAAGATAAATCATGGCATTTATCTAAACCAGCGTGCCCATAGTATTTTTTTTTTAAAATATATTTTATTGATTTTTTACAGAGAAGAAGGAAGAGGGATAGAGAGCTAGAAACATCGATGAGAGAGATCGATCAGCTGCCTCCTGCACGCCCCCTACTGGGGATGTGCCCGCAACCAAGGTACATGCCCTTGACGGGAATCGAACCTGGGACCCTTCAGTCTGCAGGCCGGCCGACGCTCTATCCACTGAGCCAAACCGGTTCGGCAACTCATAGTATTTTTAAAACAAGCAATACCTGACCTTTTTCCCTTAGATTGTTAAATAAAAAAATGACAATAGCCAACACAACAATAGCCGTCTGTTGTATATCAATACAAATTTTACCCATTTTTTGGTCAGATCTGCAAAAAATATACATACTTTTTGGTGTGCCACAGAATTTTAGTAATTCATTTATTTGTGCCATGAGATGAAAAAGGTCGAAAATCGCTGATCTAAAAAGACCCAAAGACATTTTAGCTTTTTAAAAGGTTTAAAAAAATAATAAAAATACTCTGGTGATATTAACCAAAGGAAAACAGACAAGTTTATGCTGAATCTAACTAATGCTGTATCTGACAAAAACATGTTTATGAAGAAGACTGCCTAAACATTAAATCAGTCACACCTGCAGTGCAATGCTTAATCTTTTAAATAATCGTTTTTATAATGGTAGGGAAAAACAGGAAATCTGTCACTTAAGGTTGAGCAGAAACAAAATTTTAGTGTTATTTGTTTTAAGCTAATTAGTTTTAGGCAGTTTTTTTTCTTAACTCCCTAGAATGTCCTTGACACCTCTTACCAGCAAAGGAAAACAATTTAGAATGTAAAGTCTGAAAGAACAACCTTTAAAAACTAAGTGACCCATTTTATAGTTTTCCATAAAGAGAAATGGATACCCTCTTTATAGAAAGAGGTACATGCTTTGACTTTATTTAGATGAAGGAAGGAGTGTCTAATTTTTAAAAATTCTACACCATGATATTCATGAAAGACAGAAAATATGAAGGAATGAGATTAAAAGATGAATCAAAGGAAACAATGTTTTAAAAAAATTTCCTTTGGAGACATAATAGAAACTATAGAAAACTTAATTATAAACTACAAAGCTGAGAAGCATTTCTATCCCTTATAAACAACAACAAAAAACGAATTTAAACAGGAACAGAATCAAGAGGAAAGACCTACTTTTCAAAATACAGGATAATACAATAATTAAAAGTCGTTTCAAGGGGAAGATGTAGAAGTAGAAGCAAGGCAAAAACATTCTTTTACCACAATGTAGGTAAATGAATGGAACTCCTGTTAAGCTGTGTACATTTTGTTAACATGAAAATCAATAACATACTATTTACAAAAACAGTACTGATAGCAACATGACAGAAAACTTCATTTCTTATATCACAAAAATGAAAGTACATACACTGAACAGCGTGGTTACTAGTTAATGCATAATTAAAAGTTGCTAAGAGAATAAGTTAAAAGTTCTCATCACATGAAAAATATAACTGTGTGGTGACAGATGTTGACTAGACTTACTTTGATGATCATTTTGCAATATATACAAATATTAATCATTATATTCTACACCTGAAACTAATGTCAATTATAACTTATTAACATAAAACAACAGAATTCAAAGTCAAAATCACAAAAAGGGACAAGAGGGTATCCAATATTCAGGAGGGGCAATCTCTAATAATAAAGACATACCCTAAGAAACCCCCTTGACTCCAAATCCACTGCCTGCTTCTGCTATCATGAAGTCTCCCTCGCCAGCTACAATATTATGCCTCATCAGGAAAGGATGCTGTGCGGACACTGTGTAGAACAGGGGTGGGCAAACTTTTTGACTCGAGGGCCACAATGGGTTCTTAAACTGGACCGCAGGTCCGGAACAAAAGCATGGATGGAGTGTTTGTGTGAACTAATATAAATTCAAAGTAAACATCATTACATAAAAGGATACGTTCTTTTTTTTTTTTTTAGTTTTATTCATTTCAAACGGGCCGGATCCGGCCCCGGGCCGTAGTTTGCCCACGGCTGGTGTAGAAGGAAGGGGCTTTACTGTCTGGTGTGCTTTTCTCAAGGACAAGCTTCATGGCAGTGAGGGGGCTTCTCAGCATGTTCACAGGCTAGGCGCCTCCCCACAGCCAGTCTCCCCTGGCATCACAGAAAGCTATTTCTTAGCAAGCGCCGCCCACACAGCACTTTCCTACAGAGGGCTTTCCCTGGCTCTCCAAACCTCACCAGTGGGCCACAGTCAGGTCTTCTCCAACTACATCTGGTTCTCAGCCCTGCAGTGGAATGGGGCTCTTTCCAGATTTATTTCGTCCATGGGGACACTGCTTCAGCCCTACAGGTAATAGCTGTTCCCTTATCTGCTGTTCCTATTTTCAGAGTTCTCTAAACCCCTTAGTGATCCCACATCATTCCAAATTCCTATTACTGTTAATAATGTTCTTAATTTAAAAGTTACCCATTCAAATTACTGTGTAGTTTTTGTTATCTGAATAAACCTGGACTAAAATAATTAGTAACATTATTTCAGGACTCTTTCTGGATCAGTAGTTATTTTTGAGTGAAGAGATTGAGACCTCTAAAGTTAATTAAATGTCTTCTAGCCAATGTTATATAAGTAGATTAATATTTGCAATTTCTTCAATATGGTAAATAAACCTTACCTTACTTTTAGCCACCTCAGCTGCCATCACTTCAATCTGACCTTCATAGGATTTGATGGCTTCATTTACAGCTTCAAGCTGTTGTTCACAGGATGCATGCTCTCTCTTGAGCTCTTCTAGTTCCAGAGTGATAGCTTCAACTTCCTATAAGAAACACAGGGCATTAACTACTGAAAAGTAAATACTACATATCAACAAAATTAGTAAGACTCTCATGCAAGTAAGACCAACAGCTTAATTGCTTAACTACCTAAACAGTGATGGCGAACCTATGACATGCGTGTCAGAGGTGACACGCAAACTCATTTTCTTGGTTGATTTTTCTTTGTTAAATGGCATTTAAATATATAAAATAAATATCAAAAATATGTCTTTGTTTTACTATGGTTGCAAATATCAAAAAACTTCTATATGTGACACGGCACCAGAGTTAAGTTAGGGTTTTTCAAAATGCTGACACACCGAGCTCAAAAGGTTCGCCATCACTGACCTAAAACATATCTAAACTGCTTCACCAGAAGAAGGGAGGGAAAATAAAATTTACTCTCCTATACTTAAATATTGCACATACATTTGTCATTTTTTTACCAGTTCAAGGAACTTTGCATGAACTATTTTCCTTTTACTCCTATAGGGGAAAACAATATCGAATCCTACATAACAGATACATTAAGTACAGGTAAAGGCCTTTTCTAAACAATGTAAAAAAACTAGTTTCTCTATTTTCTTCTTTCCTATTATAGCCTTTCTTATCATTAGAAAATAATTTATGCAGCTATTTAATGACAAAAGCATGAGTTAAAAAAATAACTATGAAGAAAAGTAAAATTTTATGGAACAGTGATTCAGAACATAGACACTGGAGTCAGAAAAAAAATCTAGGTTTAATTCCCAGCTTTGGTACTATCCAAAAGATATAATCAAATATCACCAACCTACAATCGAATGGCATTCCATAAATACAGCATGCTTTGTCCTACATCATTCTTTCACAGTATACATTCACATAAATGATCAACAAAATAAATACTGAATCTGATATGACATAACAAAATATATTTCCTAAAAAAGTACTCTTTGTTTTTAAATTCTGTGATGAATACTGAAAAATAAGGCCAACTGCTGGTGCTCTACCACCTTTAGCTCTGTGTTGATGTTAAAAGATTGGTTCTATTTCAACAAAGGTTATTACCTGTTGTTTTTCTTTCATTTTCTTGCTGGAAGCATCCGCTTTTGTTTTGGCACAATCAAGTTTTTTCTGAGCATCTTTCAGCTCTTTCTCTCTTTCAGCTTCTGCATTTTTCATTTTATTCTCTAATACTTCATATTTTTCTTCTGCTTTTCTTTGAATTTCTTTGGTGTTTTTTAAGGTCTCCTCACTTTCCTCTGTTTAATAAAGTAGGCAAATGTGGCTAACTGAGGTACTTCAACTATTAACAGTTATAGATAATGGCTTACAAATTCAACTTTTAATAGAAAAAATGGTCTGGAAAGTTAGAGGCTAGAAGTTAAAAAACAAAACAAAACAAAACTATTCCAACCTTATTCTAGAAATGGTATGTTGAAACACAGATCCTGCATAAGAGCCATACTTGAACTATCTGGAGATCTATAATGAAATTATTTCCAATCATATGAAATTAATAAACCCTAACCTATAACTTATATTAAAAAGATGGTCTATGCCGAAGCCGGTTTGGCTCAGTGGATAGAGCGTCGGCCTGCGGACTGAAAGGTCCCAGGTTCGATTCCGGTCGAGGGCATGTACCTGGGTTGCAGGCACATCCCCAGTGGGAGATGTGCAGAAGGCAGCTGATCGATGTTTCTCTCTCATCGATGTTTCTAACTCTCTATCTCTCTCCCTTCCTCTCTGTAAAAAATCAATAAAATATAAAAAAATAAATAAATAAATAAAAATAAAAAAATAAAAAGATGGTCTATGATCTTTTTAATATCTGTGTGCTTCCTAAAACCAGAACAGAGAGAATAACTATAATATTTTTCCTTTATTATAATGGCCAGAAAGCTTAGACTTAATTCTATAAACAAGCTTACTTTGTGTTCATTGCTCACTTATTTTGATTCAAGAGAAATACTGTGAAAACATGTCTAGGATAAGCATAGTAAAAATATTGTCTCTAAATTTAAGAAGAAAGAATAAAGTAAGATAGAATGAGTATGTTACTCTCACAAATTACACACTGATAGAACCTGGAAAATTTTAAAAGTCTGAACAGGAATGGATTTGGAGAAATGAGGACTTTCATATGCCACTAGTGCAAATGTGTACTTCTACAAATGGGCAGAATTTGGCAATATAGTAATCATAACATGTAATAATTAAAATAAGTTTTAAAGATAATTCAAATAACTACATAATAAAGATAAGCTCTAAATACCTCAAGTATGGTTATCAGAAACACATTAGGTACAGTTCCTCATCTTACCAATGGTTTTTTTAAGAGCATCTAATTCTTCTTGTTGCTTGTGATATGAACTTTGCTGGAGCTTGGTTTGTAATAAATCTGCCTCCTCGGTTTTCATCTCCCACTGCTGTTTTAGTTTGCGATACCTTAGAAAAAGAGATGTTTGTACCAAATGAACATAATTTTTCTGATGTTTGAGACATGCATCCAAACTACAGGCTTTTCCCTAAAATAAACTCACATACTAAATATAAACAATATAAGATACCACTGGTTACAAGAATAGTTTTGAGGCATCAATTAAATTCAAGGTTGATTTGGTCATTGGAGGTTAACAACTCGAAATGACCAAGACCGATAATTATTTACAGCAATACTTCTATTTTTAGAAAACAATAAAAATCATCTTTGAATGAAATAGGGCTTCCTTAAAAATAACCCTTCCTACTAATCCTTACCGAAAGGAAAAACTCCACAAAAAAAACCAACACACCAGATTAATACTATACACTGAGTGGCCAGATTATTATGACTACCCCATCAGTACAATGAAGTGAATTAGTTATGCAAATAATAATAATAAAACCTTGAGAGTATTTGCTTAAGAAGTTTTCAATATTCAGTATTTTTGGAAGTGTCAATGAAGTACGGATGGGGTGGTCACAATAATTTGGCCACTCAGTGCATATTTACACACAAATTTAAAATTTTTTAAAATTTGATTATCTAGTAATCTCCATTTTCAAATGTTAAAAAAAAAATGTTCCCTACATTTTCTAACGAGACATAGTTTAAAAGTGCACAGCACAGAGTAAACATTTGCAATTCATTTTCCTTGCAAACCCTGTGATCTACCCCAGTTCTGGCTATTTAGTTATTTCTTTAGAAAGTATGTAGCTAATTCAGCTACAGTTAAATTTCAAGTAATTAGAAAAATCATGAAATTTGAGGAAAAAGTATAAAACAAATACTTCTATGTGTATCTAGCCTCAAACTGCTTGACATCAATTAAAAAAAAAAAAAAAGGCTATGTTCCTGATATGGTCTATGAAAGAATAGCTTTACTTGACCCTTCCATTCTCATATTTTTCAAAATCTACTTCGTTTCCTTAACCCCAATGCTACAAATCTATAGGACAATTCTGCAAATGATCCAATACTGCTGAACAAAGTTAACAGTTCTAAGCCAAATGTGAGCACAAACTCACTGCCATGCCAGAGCTTCCACACAGAGCTCAGGAAAATCTTGTTGCATTTTTCTCACAGAAAAAGTTCAGTCACTTTATGGTTAATTTATGTTACTGAAGGTAAAATGCAGGCTAAACATGTATATGATGTTTGAAAGTGGGCATTCTGATATACTGTATCTTGGAATGACCATGTTGACTGATTATAACAATTTCTTCAATATACATAGTATCCTAAATATCTTGTTACCATTCTAAGCTTTGATAATTTTAAATGAATGCTACAAATTTCATTTCTAAGTTTATGTAGATCTTTAAAAAACCTTTATTCAGCGTTATGAATTCTAAATAAAATGTTTGATTTTAATTTTATCTCAGTTGCCAATTGCCAGCTTCAGAGGGACTGGAAAAAAATTACACTTTCATATAATGTACTTTGTAAGTTGTAGTGTTTATACTACTGAAGCCTTTCAAAGCAAGTAAGGACTCTTCTCCAGAATAACCACACGTGGAGTTCACTCCATCATTCAACAGCCACCTTCTAAGCGATGCTTTCCCTGAACACCAAATATGTAATTTCAGCACCTGTTTGCCCTGGACAACTCAATATCTCCTTTCCTGTTGTCCTTTTTTCTCCTTAGAACTTAGCATTTCTCTAACACACTTTACCCATTTAACCTTCTTTAGTGTTTGTTTCTATATATATATATATATATATATATATATATATATATATATATATATATACATACACACACACATACATATATATATACACATACATACATACACACACACACACACGATGAAGGAAGAGATTTATCTGTTTGATTCATCACTATATTCCAGCTCCAATAAGGGTATTTGGCACATAGGAAGAGGCACTCAAAAGTGAGTAATGTTAAGTTACAAAAAGAGGTTACATTAAACACCATGATCCCAATTTTGAAAATATTATAACATGCATATACCTTGTACCATACATAAACAGAAGTAATATTGAAAGGTTAACATACATACCTATAATCTACACCGACAGAAGAAACATGTAAGGACACTTTAATTTTAGCAGTGACTTTCTGACATGAACTTACTTCCTCCGTACGCAACCTAATAATTTTCAATAGCTATAGTTCAGCCATAATGCTGCTAAAGTCAGTGCAGACACCTGATCAATGCTAAACTGTATCATTTCATTCAAATCAAGGACCAAGTATCTGCTATCAACCTCCAGAGTACATCTCAAAGGGAAAGGAGAATATTTGGTTAATTTTTCCTTCTGTTTAATTAATTTCTTATAACAAAGACATTTTTTTATTAGAAAACCTGCATAACAAACAATTTATTCAACTAAAAAAAAAAAACCAAGGACAGTCTGAAAAAAAGACAAAGTTGCATTTCTTCAAATAAAGGTATATTTTCTTTCCTTTTCTACCATGCAAAATCTTTGACCAAAAAGAATATATATAAATATATGTAGCTTAATTCAATAGGTCTTACTTTTCAGCAGTGTTTTTAAGACCTGCTAATTCCTCTTCTAGAGCCTGTAGTTCATTCTCCTTGATTCTCAGCTTATCTTGGACATCTTTGAGCTCCTGAAACTTGGTTAAAATTGAAGCCGCCTGGGATCGAGCACCTGATAGAAATTGAAATTGTACAATAAGTTATCACATACTTAGTAAATAAGAAGTTTTCTAAGAGAATTATACTTGAAATGATTCCATATGCAATCCTTTAGAATGAGCTTATGAAATTATAGAATTTACTTCATTTAAAGCTTACAACATACATACTTAGTAAGTACTTCTAATAAGATGTGGTGGATTATTTGTTCAAGCTAATCACTGTCCCTGCCTACTCATAAAGATCGGGGTTAGGCATGTAATTTGATTTGGTCAACAAAATGGTAAATGTGCCTCTTCTGAAAGTGGGCCTTAAATGACAGCACCTAAATCACCACATTTTCCCCCTCGCCCATTTCTCCTTCAGCCTGGGTTCCAGAATGAGATTAGCATGGGGCAGAGACAACTGACCTACAGTTATTGTAGCATAATCATGAAAACAAAACAAACAAAAAAACACTTGTAAGCCACTGAGATTTGGGGGCTGTTTGTTATACCATAACCTTGTCCGGGCTCTGATATAGCAGAGAGAATTGGTTTCACTTTATAAACAACTGTATTTGTCTGGCATTGACAGGCTGAGGTTATATTGGCAAGAAAACTCTGTAAGTTTGATAAAATACAAAGGTTAATTAGCAATGCCATTATGAGCATTTTGTTAATATGATATGGGGTTACACATTTGCCATCCCTTTGGAAGGAATTTTAAGAACATACAAATCAATGAAATCTAGTTTCTTCTATTTTAGATATTTAAAAATATTTGGTCTGTCTTCCCATTGTAACTACTAGTCATCTTATTGTGTACCAGGGAATTTGATCATCGGATTCATTTTGTTGACTCTTGTCTTCTTGGCCTAGAAAGAAATTGTTATCTAATATGTAAGAGGTGTTACCTCTTGGTTTGGCTAAAAGCACGAACTCTAATTATTAGAGTTCAAATTCTGAGTTTTGCCACTTATCAGTAAGTTATTTAACAACTCTGTACCTTACTTTCTACAATTGTATATGAGAGATGATTGTGATATGCTTACCTCATAGCTGCTATAAGGATTAAAAGAGTTAATTATTTAAAGCCCTTAGAATATGCTTTTATAGCGTGATAGAGATGTTCTCTACCTGCATTTTCCAGTTACCCATTAATTAACCATTTATGGTTACTGAGCCCTGAGAATGTGACTTGTGCGAGTGAGGAAATTAATTTTAATTGATTATTTAAATTTAAAGAGCCACATGTGGCTAACAGTTCCTATTTTGGACAGCACAATCTTACAACACTGCCTAGTACACAGTAAGTATTATTCAGTGTTTGATATTATGAGATCACTTGATACAGATCTGTAAACTCAATGTGGTAAACATTAAAACAAGAAGCATATGGTCATTATCTAAGAATTCCTTTCTTAAAGCATTAAAAAAAGTACCATCTCCAGGGCAAATTTAATTTTATTTTGACAGGAGCAGTGGCATATACACAAAGTAGAAGTTAACATGTTTGATGAAGGAGAAATGAGTGGTTAAGCTACAAATATACTGGGGGGGAAAAAGACTTCATTTCCCAGTGACTAGAATATTCTGATAGGGCAAAAAGCAAAAGAAAATAAACAGTAATAGTTTTACTTGAGATGAATAAAAAAAGCTAGGATTGATGCTTAGACTAGAGCTCATTGAGGACTATGACATCATGTAATCTCTCAATATTATTAAATACCTGTCATGTGGTAGGTATTCAAAGGAGAACCCAATTTCTAGACTAGTAATAAAACTCTGGATTAAGTCATTCCAACCCTACTATTTTCTGTTAAAGATAATAAAAGGTCCCACCCTATTTACCACATAGAATTATGAGGACAAATGATATAATACCTACCTCCACTCAGTGTCCCGTGAGGATCAAATACCTCACCTCCTCGAGTTACAGTTCTAGTCATTATCCTTTTATCAAAGGCTACTTTTTTTGCATTATCCATATTGTCACAAACAAATGTTGTTCCAAAGACAAATTCCATTGCTTTCTGAAGTTCCGGTTTGTATTCAACCAGGGAAAGAGCCACATGAACATTGTTAGGGCCAACCTGTGGGGAAAACAGATGTGTACTTACTACTCCTTTCCTTTCAAAATTATTTTATAAAATAGTAAGAATTGCTACAATAGAAATTTAGGTAATACTTATCTAGCAAAATAATTCCTTTAGAACTTTCTAAAATGCTATGGAAATCTCAAGAGTTTCATTTAGGAAAAATTTTTTTTTCCCAAATTTAAACCCTGAAAGACCTATTGAGAGTTTCCAGCAAGGAGGGGCCGCTATGAAGTTTCTAAATCCACACTGGACTATTCGAACAGACTTTCTTAATTAAAGTATAGCAATGCTGGACCAACGTTTTGACATAAAATGTTTTGTTTCAATTATTAGTAATATGGTGGTTCCACAGTGAATGCTTTTTCATTTAAATTAAATATGCTAGGGCAGCCACCGAAATAAAAACACAATAATTGAGTAAAAAAATTTTTTTAAATCCCTGTCCTTTATTTTGATACAAGTGTGTCTTGTCAGACTTTATTTACAGTGTCCATCTCTGCCCGTCTTTTAGAACAACTAAGCATTCTTTATGAAGCTTAGCAGCAGCAGAAGTCAAAATAAAGGAGGCTCTATGTAACACATATTCAGAATTGTACCGTGACGTAGCAGCTACATTAAACACATCTGGCTAAAGGATTTAGCTGTATTTTTACTGTTACTTGAAATCCCAATTTACTTCTGACACTGGAACTGGACCTAAGGTTGAAATAACTTTCAAAGCCTTCAAAGTAAAGGAAGTACTAACCCAAAATACCACCTTTCGATTACTATGCACTCATCTCCATCCCCTGACAGTGTATAGATCAACACAATTGTACTTTGAAGTAATTTTAATTGAAGACTTCTCAAAATTTCAGCAAATATACTGAATATCCATTTAATATCTTAATTACAAATGCACTGCGAGGTTTCAGTCTTTTCAACTCCTGCACTTGAAATAACTACTCAATAAGCTGATTCTGCTGCTGAATGTTATACAGTCGTTAATAGCCATTTAAATGAACTTTCTTATCCTCATCTGCTATTTTACTAGTAGTCATACCAGGGGTAGGAGTTAGCTACTACTTCTCAACAGCTGACTGAATATCTCTGCCATGTGTTTTGTATATCCACAGATTGAAAGGCACTTAGAAGAACTCTAACAGAGAAGCATCTCTGCAAGATCAACAGACACCTTCCATATACGGTCTTGCTGTGGACAGTTTACATGTGCCTAGCATGAAAAAAACTGAAGAATTCTGGTATTAATAAACTGTAATTCTAATTATTCAGAAAACAGAAATTCAATACAATCAAGAGCCACTTAATGATGGGGATATGTTCTAAGAATGCATTGTTTGGCGATTTCTTTATTGTGCAAACATCATAGGCAGCAGTCGCCAACCGGTGGCGACCACTGTCATAGAGTGTACTTAACACAAACCTAGATGGTTGAGCCTACTACACAACTAGCCTATTGATCTGTAGGGGAGGAAAAACAGTTTTCCCTTCACTTTTCTGGTTCTTGGCCGAGACATCCCTATGAAACAAAAGTTTAATAACATATATACCTCCTGTTTACATGGAAGAGACCTGGAAACTGACTCCTCAAAACAGCTGAAGCCAGCATTTTTACCATCTTACCTTAAATACCATCTTCAGTGCAAGGCAAAAGATGTTGGGGTGGGGAGAGTAAGTTACCAGAAAAAGCACAGTAAACAAAGGTAAGTTTGCTATGTAGATTTAATTCCTTGTCTTCTACACTGATATGAGTTTCTAGAGGTAAGGTGTCACTCCCCTCTTCACCCTTACAAATGAAAATATCTTTTACAAAGGGTAACTTCTACTTTCTTAACAACCCTAAAATATTTTTATACCAAATAGACTATTTAAGAGTAACAAATTGTTGCCCTACAGCTTCTAGGCTGCAAACCTGTTCAGCATGTTACTGTATGAAATACTGTAGGCAACTGTAACACAAGGGGTTAGGTACTTGTGTAATATGTGCTATGACATTACTAAGGCTAGGACTTCACTAATCCTTAAAAATTTTTGAGCTCCATTATAATCTTATAGGAACAAGGCCTTATGTAGGGTCCTTTTTTAATGGGGAGAGTACTGTTTTTACTATCACCTGATAGTTATGTAACTTGACTTAAGGGTTAAAGAGATTCTAATACTACAACTTTGAAACACCAACTATATTTTTTTATCTTAATTTTTAAATCATGGTAGCAAAAAAATTTTGCAGTTCTGCATATGATTAAGTCCCCCAAAATTAATGTTCTCTAATTTTAAAAATAGAGATAAAACATGTAAGACTTACAAGATTCTGAGCGACCCTCAGGGTTTCTGGAGCAATACATGTGGCTGAAATTTTATTGAGTGGAATTATAGTGTATCGACGCTTCAATTCCCCCTTTTCTAGTAGCTTTTTTCCAGTAACCTAAAACACAGTGCATGTGAAATAAAAATACATGTATATTATTAATGATAACAGAAAACATTTGAATGGAGAGTGCACATTTAGGAATCCATAATCAAATAAATATTTAGTGCCTACTATCCTGAACAATTAAAAGTCTAAGGCTGATAATATACATTCTGGATTCCTGAGTGAGCTTGAGACTTCCTCTGAAATACAGCTAAATCCTATATAATAAAGAGCTAATATGCTCATTACACTGAACAGCAGAATGACCCGAGGCTGCTGGGGCTGCGAGGGCCAAGCCCCTTGCACTATTTTCGTGCATTGGGCCTCTAATCAAATATAATAATATAGTAAAAATGTCATTAACTGAAAAGTTTTAACTTGTAAAAATAAGCAACTTTGGAAGAAGCTTACAACACCAAAGAAGTACCCAAATCTTCTAGCAGCATATCATTATCAAGCTGAACAGCAATTACAAATTTCCTTTATTAAAATCAATTTACCTCTGTGTCTACTACAACATTGTAGAGTCGTTCCCCAGCCACCAATTCTAAAGCTGTGGTTGCAGAAGTATCTTTCACACTAATCAAAGAAGCTACAAGTCCTTTCACACAATTTCTATTCCAGTTCTTCTCTGGATCCCTAAAATGGAAAAGTTGACAAAAGTCAATCTTAGATAAGAAAATAGAAAAAAATTATATATGTATAGTAATACTCAGGAGCTCTTTTCGACAACACATTAAACTGACAGAAGAATCATATAGATTTAACAAAACAAAAACTTGAAAATGTCCCAGATGACTACCCAGCTATTGTTTCAATGTAACAAAAATAACTTTGACTTTCTAATCTTTGTAATACATAATTACCATAGCATTCTATGAAAAAAATCCCATGAGGAAAGCAAACTGTAAAATGTTAATATAGATATTTATCATTAATGATAGAAAACCTTTAAAGAAACTTTGGATTGAGATTAAATTCCTCTCATTTTGGTTTTAAGATAGGTGGCATTCACAGCCATTAAATCTCACAAGAATTTCCCCTGCCCACACCTGAAACACTGCAATTAACGTAAAGCAGTTCACAATAATTTTCATACAAAAATCTTAATGTTCATGAAATTTTAAGACTGCCTTCCAGCCAAAATAAAAAGAGATCTTGGTTATTACTATGTTAAAATTCAAGATTTAAATCTCATACCTGTAGGCAAATTGAAGATTGGGAAATCTGGCCAAGAGAGCTTCATATGTTTCTTTCAATCTACTGATATCACGTGACAGCTGCCTGCGCTTTTCCAGAAGGCTTTCCTCCTTGTTTTCTAAACAGTAAATCATAAGTAAATTAAAACCAAGTCTTAAAATAAATATTCTGTTTTAAGGAAAATATTTGTAACCTCTATTTCCAAAGCATTTCTAGAAGCAAAATACAAATTTATGATAAGTATTAAATAAAAAGCATGCTTAACATTCAAATTTCTATTGTGTTAAGTAGACATTTCTGACAATACAATTTCTATTCCAAAAAATAACAAATGAATTGAATGCCTACTGAAGTAGAAATATACAAATGACATTTCTGAGTTTAAGTGTCAGGTCAGAGTGATTGGAGCAGGAAATTCTTGGTGAATCTTCAAAAATTTTAAGCACTATGTTGTAGTTAGATATTTTTGAGACTATATTTGTAAACATTTCTTATACTAATACTCATTAATAGGATAAAAATTTTTCCTACTTGCTATTTTTTTAAGTTAGTTTCACCAACCACCACTATCTCCTAATGATTTAATAGTATGTCTTTAAAGGCAAACCTTCATAATTTAGCTTTTTTATTTCGGCTTCAAGTTTTTCTTTAAGCTTCTTCACAGCCTCTAAAGCTTCTTGATCCTTCCTGTAGCCACTATCCATCTTCTTAACTTCAGCTTGTTTAGTCTTTAATTCTTGTTGGGCATGCTTCAATTTCATCTGAGCCTGCAAAGAAAAATGTAACAGACCATCTGAGGCAGATAGTTCAGATTGGTTTAAGAGAATCAGCCTTGAAAATGCAACTGTTGGCCACTTGGATTAGTATCCCAACAGATCAATCATTTCCCAACATTTTCTCCTCAAAAAAACTACTCAGAGTAAAAACTAATATGTTTAACATAAACCATAAAATAACTTGCAATTTAAATCCATATTTTTAATAATTATAAAATATGAAATGAATTAGTTCAAATTATATCAAAGAATACTTGTCATTAGCTGGTTAAATTAAGAACACAACAGAAAGCTAAAAATCCTAACTCTAGTTCTCTTCCTTTCCACTTAGACAACACTCACAAATATACATTAGTACAATCTAACAAGAGAAGCTATACTGGGCAATGAGAAATAACATTACATAGAAAAAGGGAAACTAAATTGACAGCAATTTAAATGCTAGTTTATATAATTGAGCACTAGTCCTTAAAACCATGAAGTAGTATTCTAAGCTCTATATGGGTATATCCTCCCTCTAAAACTGAATAACGATGGGCTTGTCCCAATACAAATAAGTTTATAGGAAAACCGAGAGGGTTTCAAAGTTTTTTGGCTATTGATTTTTAACAAATATTTTGTGATCATCTTTGTTGAATAAAAAAGTGGCAAATAGGTGATAGAAAAACTTTAATTGGATTAATATACAATACACACACATGTCCGTATATATTTTCAGAGCTGAGTCTTCCATTACAAACAAAGAATGTGTATATATACATTTTTTCTTTCTGCTATCAAAAGTCTTATATTCACAGGACTTTAAGAGTTGTACAACTATCTAAACATTTGAAAACCATTCTAATAGACTGACAAGCCTTTGAAAATTATGAAATCAGAGTAGGAAAACCAAAGACTAGAATGGGGGTAGGTGGGAAGTGGAGATACTTCCAAAGAGTATGTTGTCAAGTTTTAGAACCAAGGTTTTAAGAACTAGATGTGTTGGGCATAGAAATGGAGAGGATACTTTTCTGTTCCTGTTAAATCTTAGTACTTCAAGTTAATGATGCCAATAAATACAGCAAAAAAATATATATAATTGACTTACCGCAAATATTCCATATAGTGCTGGAAACAAAATAAAGCCTTTATTACACTAACAATTTCAATTAACCTATAAAGGCATTTTAGGTTTTAAAGCATCTTTAAACTATCAATATTTAGCAATCCACATATTAGAATTTCATTACAGTAAATGCTATAAAGTGGCAGAATAAAATAAACAAGATCCTTGACATTGATCTGACTATTTTTTAACAAAGCATAAATGTGAAGCATCTTCTCGAAAACAAAAAAAGTAATCACATAGTGCTTAATGTCTATATTTACCTGTTTGGCTTCTGTCTGAGCTTTACTTATGTCATTTTTACAGGCCATCATTTGACCAGCAAGAGTTGCTTCTGCTCCATCTTCGTTACTGGACAGGCCAGCGGAAACAGCATTAAAGTGCTGTTGTGCAGCAGCCAAAGCTTCAGCGTCTTTATTACTTGCTTCTTGAAGGGTGTTCAGCCCATCTGTTATCTTTTTAACCTCTTTTTCCTTTGCTGCTAAAGTTTTAGAATCCTTTAGGAAGAGTTTCAGATTGAAAAGTGTTATATTTTAGGAGAAACATCTATTTTCTAATACATATGTATACTTATGTCATCAAATTTCACTGCAATTTGAAGGTGGGCATGGTTACAAGGAAAATAATGTCACCTTAAATAAAATAATTTAAACATTTTATTCTCATTTTGAAATTCGCTCTATTTTTAGGATAAATGTGCTGCCTTTTTTTTTTTTTTTTTAATGAAAGGTAGGCTTCTTGTCTCCCAGGCCAGATCCTTTTCTTTTTTTTTAAATGTATTTTATTGATTTTTTACAGAGAGGAAGAGAGATGGAGCGGGATAGAGAGTTAGAAACATCGATGAGAGAGAAACATTGATCAGCTGCCTCCTGCACACCCACTACTGGGGATGTAAATATGTGCTTCTTATCTTTCTAGAAATACTTTCATATGTTATAGTCAAATCTGAGAGATAATGCGCTGACATAATTGCAAATTTAAACCACTTGAAGAAACTAAAAATCAGTTTCTAAATCTAAATAATTATAATAGCCATCCTACACCAATTTTAAAAGTAGAGATTTTAGGATTAAGAACATGTATATAAAAATATTTTTAGGCCCTGGCCTGGTAGTTCAGTTGGCTAAAACGTCATCCCAGTACACCAAAGGTTGTAGGTTTGATCCAAGGTCATGGTATATACAAGAATCATCCAATAAATGCATAAATAAATGGAATAACAAAACGATGTTTAGCTCTCTCCCTCTCTTTAAAAATCAATTAAATTTTTTTAAGATTATTTTTATAAACTATTAAGGGCCATAAAATTTAAGCATTAAATAATTGTAGGGATAGCATTACTTAACACCTTTTTATGCAAGATACCAGCCCTAAAAAATATGTATATCTATACTGTTTATATGAAAGTGACCAGAAATCAGAAATTTTGGCCCACCTGTTTAATTCATGATTGAATAAATATTTACCAGATGTTTACTATGTACCAAACAAAACTATGTATTGTTTTAGACTCCTCAGGAAGCCTATATGTTAGGGTGGAAGACATAGTAAGCAAACAAAGCAAAGCAAAGGGATGGAAGGTGATGGGGGGGGGGAGCTATTATTTTAAGAAGAATGACAAGAGGTCTTTTTGTGGTAACATTTGAGCAGAAGCCTAAATGAAATAAAAGGAGTGGCCATGCTATACTAGGAGGAATTGTAATTGGAGCAATGAGCAAGTGGTAAGAAGGAGCCAGGGGTTAGACCATATAGTATTGTAAACCATGGTAAAGACTTGGATTTAATTATACTTGTAACTTTGAAACCACTAAAGGTTTTAAGTACAAGAATGATGTGATCTAATTTGTATTTTAGCTTTTGTACAGATCAGACTATAGAGCAGGAGGGGCAACTAGTAAGGACACTATTGCAGTATCCCTCATGGGAGGTGATGGCTTATACCAGGTTAGCAGTGATGGAGGTGATGAAAAGTGCCTGTATTCCGGATATACTTTTAAAGCCAACAGAATTTGCTGATGGATTAGATGTAGGATTTGAGAGAAAAGGAGAAATCCAGGAGGACCCTATGATTTCTGGACAGAACCGTTAGGTTGCCAGTGGTGTCCTTTACCGGTATGAGAAAAATTCAATAATATAGGCAGGTTTGGGTAGGCGGAGTAAATTTAAGAATTTTATTTTGGATATGTTAAGTTTTAGACTTTGTTAGCCACCCATGCAAAACTATTAAGAAGCTAGACTAATGAGTCTAGAATTTATCTAGCTTCCCTGAGTTTAGAATTCAGGGAAAGAGTCAATAATTTGGGACATGCCAACATATGTACTTGGATTTGTATTTCTAACCTGGATTCAACATCTCTATTTAGATGTCTAACAGGGACCACAAGCCCATCAAATTCATACTATACTTCTTCCTATTCTCCACTCAGCTTATGGTAATCCTAGGTCCAACTGTCAAAACCTAGAATTTTCCTTCACTCCTTCCTTTTATATTTAACAGCCAATCTCCAGGTCATTCTGGTTGGACCTACCCTTAAGATGCGCATAAAATGTCACAACTTTCTCAGTACACTCCATTTCTACTGCGTTTTTCCAAGGGCTAACACCTGGACAAGCTACTTCCCTCATCCTTTAGTTTGTTCTCAAAACAAGGAGACTTCTGGTCAAGATGGTGGAGCAGGTAAACAATGTGCCCATGTAACAACTAAATTATAGAACAACCATCGAGAACTACCTGAAGACAAGCTCAACAGGTCCTATGATATAAAGCAGCCATGCTGAGAATGGTAGGACAGAGAAACAGAATAGGCAGGTTCCAAGTGCTGGCAATTAAGAATCAGGAGGCCTATCTCAGCTTCATCACACTCCCCAGCCCAGGGCTCCACTGCCAGGAAGAGGAGTCCCCATAACAACTGGATGTGAAAACCAATGGGCATTGTGTATAATAGAAACAGAGGGGTACTGGAGTCCTACCCACTGCAGGTCTTAGAGGGCCTGGACACAGACTCACTCACAGTCTCACTAGCTCTGAGCCCAACACAGCAGCTCAAAAAGCCAAAGAGACACAGGAAGAACTAACTTCAGGGCAAGGGCTGGAGGGCAAGGGCCAGGACAGTTCTCTCCCAGAGGAAAGTGCTGACAGGTGCTACTGTTCCTATATTGAGTGCCCCCCGCCACCCCCTAGTGTAGGTAGGCACCAAATCTGAGCTCTTCATTCATCTAACACCATTCACCCTAGTAATTCCCTGAGACCCCAGTGCACCCAACTCACCCACCTAGCAGAACCTCTTCCAGCAGCTCCTAGACAGAAGGAACCTGCCTAAGCTTGAGTTGTGGACTTCCCTAAAATCTTCCAAAAGTACACAAATTCCAAATAAGACTTGGTGTGCTCGGCACCTGTTGTTTAACTACTCCAACAAACACAAAGTGGTGACCAGTCTCTCAACTTGTTTAACTCCCATCAGATGGCCCCAAGCCTGGCATAAGCAGTGGCCAGAAGTGGCTTGGAACATAGCCTCAACTGACAAAAATCCGGCACAATTGGCAGCAAACCTGAGCTCCCAATGTGGTGTCCACCAAAGGGTGCCAAACCCAACACCAGAGGAAGTCAGCTATACACAAGGGGATATAACTCTTGTAAACATACACACACCCAACATAGAAGCACCTAAATATATAAAGCAAGTATTGATGAACATAAAGGGAGACAACAACAGTAATACAGTAACAGTGGGAACTTTAATACCCCATTCACATCAATGCATAGATCATCCAGACAGAAAATCAATATGGAAAAATGGCCTTAAATGACACATTAGATCAGATTGATTTAATTCTTTTAGAACGTCTGATCCAAGAGCAGCAGAATATACATTCTTTTTAAGTGAATATGAAACACTTTCTAGGATAGATCACATATTAGTACACAAAACCAGTCTTAATAAATTTAAAAGACAAATCATAAAAAGCATTTTTTCTGACCACATGGTATGAAATCAGAAATAAAAAAAAAAATTGAAAAACAAACACATGGAGGCTAAATAACATGCTCTAAACAATAAATGTGTTAACAAGATCAAGGAAGAAATCTAGGTACCTTAAAACAAATGAAAATGAAAACACAATGAACCAAAATTTATGGGACATAGCCAAAGCACATAGGGAAAGCCACATCAATACAAGCCTACCTCAAGAAATAAACATCTCTAACGAACAATCTAACCTTACAACTAAAGAAATCAGAAAAAGCATTAAACAAAGCCCAAAGTGAGAAGGAAGGAAATAATAAATATCACAGTGGAAATAAACAAAGTAGAGTCTTAAAAAAATTAATGAAACCAAGAATTGCTTCTGTAAAAAGATAAAAATTGATAAACCTTTAGGCAGACTCCTCAAGAAAAAAAGAGAACCCAAATTAATAAATTCACAAATGAAAGTGACAACTGACACCACAGAAATACAAAGAATTAAAAGTAAGTACCACAACAGTTATTTGCAAACAAATTGGACATTCTCTTTCTCGAAGAAATGAAATTTCTAAACAGATCTGTAAATATTAATGAACTTGAATCGGTAATTTAAAAAATTCCCAATAAACGTAAGTCCTGGGTTAAATGGCTTCACAGGTGGATTCTACAGCACATTCAAAGATTTGATACCTATCCTCCTCAAAATATTCCAAAAAGTTTAAGTTGAGGGAAAGCTTTCAAACTCCTTTTATGAGACCAGTATTAGTATAGGTATATACTAATACCAGACAAAAACACTTCCAAAAAAAACAAAATTATAAGCCAATCTCTCTGATGAACTTAGGTGCAAAAATCCTTAACAAAATATTACCAAACCAAATTCAGCAATACTTTAAAAAGATCATACAACATAATCAAGTGGAATTTATTCCTGAAACAAGGTTGGTATACCACATGACTAACGTGATATACCACATAAACAAAATGAAGTTTAAAAATCAAATGATCACATCAACAGATACAGCAAAAGCATTTGACATAATCCAACATCTATTTAAAAACTCTCAGCAATGTGGGGGTAGGGGCACCATACCTCAACATTACAAAGGCCACATAAGAAGCCCACAGCTAAATCATACTCCATGGTGAAAATGTGAAAGTTTTCCGTCCAAGATAAGGAATAAAACAAGGGTGCCCACTCTTTCACCACTTCTATTCAATACTAAAGGCCTGGTGCATGAAATTCGTGCATGGGAGAGGTCCCCTCAGCCCAGCCGGTGTCCTCTCGCAATCCAGGACCCCTCGTGGATGTCCAACTGCTGGGGTAGGCCCGATCCCTGCAGTTGGACATCTGGCAGTGGGACATCACTCTGCAACCTGGGACTGCTTGCTCCTAACCGCTTGCCTGCCTGCCTGCTCAGTGCACGTCATAGCGACCAGTCATTCCGGTTGTTCCGTCATAATGATCACTTAAGACTTTTATATATATACTAGAGGCCCGGTGCACAAAAATTTGTGCACTTGGGGGGGAGGGGGGCCCCTCAGCCCAGCCTGGGACCCCAGGGAGATAACGACCTGCTGGCTTAGGCCTGCTCCCGGTTGGCAGAGGGCAGGCCCAATCCCTAGGAGCAGCCCCTGGTCGGGCTCAGAGCAGGGCTGACTGGGGAGTTGGGGCACCACCCCCTGTCATGCACAGAGCAGGGCGGATCGGGAGGTTGTGATGCCACCCTCAGTCACGCTCAGGGTAGGGCCAATTGGGGGGTTGCGGGAGGTTGTGATGCCACCCTCAGTCACGCTCAGGGTAGGGCCGATGGGGGGTTGGGGCACCGCCCCGTCACACTCAAGGCAGGGTCGATGGGAGGTTGCTGCGCCACCCCCTGTCACGCACAGAGCAGGGCCAATCAGGGGGTTGGGGCGCTGCCCTGTCACGCACAGAGCAGGGCCCATCAGGGGGGTTAGGGCTCTGTACCCTGTCATGCACAGAGCAGGGCCAATCGGGGCTGGGGAGCTCCCCCTGTCACGCACAGAGCAGGGCCGATCAGGGGGTTGAGGAGCTCCCCCCTGTCACTCAGAGAGTAGGGCCGATAGGGGAGTTGGGGCACCGCCCCCTGTCACACACAGAGCAGGGCGGATCAGGGGGGTGGGGCGCCGCCCTCTATCACCCACAGAGGAGGGCCGATCAGGGGGCTGGGGCGCTGCCACTGTCACACTCAGGGCAGGGCCGATGGGGAGGTTATGGCTCTACCCCATCACACACAGAGCAGAGCCCGTGGGGTGGGGGTTGGGGCACCGCCCTCTATCACCCACAGAGCAGGGTCTATCAGGGGGTTGGGGCGCCACCACTCTCACACTCAGGGCAGGGCCGATGGGGAGGTTATGGCTCTACCCCATCACACACAGAGCAGGGCCGATCAGGGGGTTGGGGCGCTGCCCCCTGTCACACACAGAGCAGGGCCGATCAGGGGGCTGAGGCGCCGCACCGTCACACACAGAGCCGCAGGGCGATCAGGGGGTTGGGGAGCTCCCCCTATCAGGCACAGAGCAGGGCTGATCGGGGGGGGGGGGGGGGGGGGTTGGGGCGCCTTCCCCTGTCACGAACAGAGCAGGGTGGATAGGGAGGTTGTGGCGCCGCCCCCTGTCACACACAGAGCCGCAGGGCGATCAGGGGGTTTGGGCGCTGCTCCGTCACACTGATCCCGGTGCTGGGAGGCATATTACCCTTTTACTATATAGGATAGAGGCCTGGTGCATGGGTGGGGCTGGCTGGTTTGCCCTGAAGGGTGTCCTGGATCAGGGTGGGGATCCTGCTTGGGTGCCTGGCCAGTCTGGGTGAGGGGATGATGGCAGTTTGCAGCTGGTCACACACCCTTCAGGGTGGGGGTTCCCACTGGGGTGCCTGGCCAGTCTGGGTGAGGGACTGAGGGCTGTTTTCAGGCTGGTGAGTGACTGAAGCTCCCAACCGCTCCTTTTTTTCTGTTGTTTTTTTTTTATTCTGGGCCAGCTTTAGCTTTAAGGCTTGGCTCCAGCTCTTAGGCCACCGCTGCTGAAAGCAGGTTTCTGGCCTTTGTTTACCTTCTGTATTTGAAACAATGTTGCAATCCTGCTGGCTGAAGCCCGGCGACTAAAGCAGGTTTCTGGGGTTTTGTTTAGCTTCTATATTTGTAACATAGTTGTTTAGAGTTGCAGCTCAGAGGCCGGCAGCAGCAGGCGGGAAACGTTGGAGTCCTCCGTCACTGAAGCAAGCAAGCCTCATGTTCGCTTTAAGCTGCCTGGCAGCTGGCCGCCATCTTGGCTGGCAGTTAATTTGCATATTGCCCTGATTAACCAATGGGAAGGGTAGTGGTCGTATGCTAATTACCATGTTTCTCTTTTATTAGATAGGATATAGAGTATTGGAAGCCCTAGCCAGATCAATTAGTCAAGAAAAAGAAATAAAAAGCATCCAAATTAGAAAGGAAGAAGTTAAACGGTCATTATTTGCAGATGACACGATACTATAGAGAACCCTAAAGATTCCACCGAAAAACTATTCAAATAATAAATTAATTCAGTACAATAGCAGATACAAAATTAATATTCAGAAATTGATTGTATTTTGATACACCATAATGAACTACCAGAGAAATGAAGAACACAATCCCATTTACAATTATGTAAAAAAAAACCACAAAACAACCCTGGACTAAATTTAACCAAGTAAATAAATGGATCTGTAGTCAGAAAACTATGACACTGAAGAAATAAAAGAAAAAGAAAAAAGTAGACAGATAAATGGAAGTATATACTGTGCTCATGGAACATCATTAAAATGACTTATTACTGAAAACAATCTACAGATTCAGTGCAAGCCCTATGAAAATTCCAATGGCATTTTAAACAAAACTAAAACAAATAATCCTAAAATTATGTGGAACCACAAAAGGTACCAAATAGCCAAAGCAATCTGGAGAAAGAACAAAGTTAAAGGTATCAAGCCACCTGATATGAAACTACTAGGTGTACTGGTTAATAATGCGTATTTTTTTTCAAAGATGGAGTTACACATGTTGATATATATGCGATGTGATATGTATGCTATTTTGTTGTATTGACAGCAACCTTCAAAACTTCCTGTCAAATTTGCTGAAGTTGTTAACATCATAGATATTTTTACGATTAAAAATGTTGAATTTCGTGCCAAAAAAGAGCATTTGCGAGTTTTAATTCATTACTTTATTTTGAAGAAAAGTGCTGCTGAATACTTTGGGAAGCTTATGGTGAACATGCTCCATCTCAAGATACTTGTGAACACCGGTTTAAATGCTTTAAAAGTGATGATTTTGATGTGAAAGACAAAGAATGTCCAGGTCAACCGAAAAAGTTTGAAGACCAACAATTACAAGCATTGGATTAAGATGCATGTCAAACTCAAAAACAACTTGCAGAAAGATTAAGTGTTGCTCAGCAAACAATTTCTGATCATTTACAAGCAATGGGAAAGATTTTAAAGGAAGGAAAATGGGTGCCACATCAACTGAATGAAAGACAAATGGAAAACCGAAAAGTCATCAGTAAAACGGTGCTTCAACGGCACAAAAGAAAGTCTTTTTGCATCGAATTGTGACTGGAGATGAAAAGTGGATTTATTTAGAGAATCCCCAAAGCACAAAATCATGGGTTGATCCAGGTCAACTAGCAACATCGACTGCAAGGCCAAATCGCTTCGGAAAGAAGACAATGCTCTGTGGTTGGTGGGATCAGAAAGGTGTGGTGTATTATGAGTTTCTAAAACCAGATCAAACCATTAATACTGATGGCTACTGACAACAAATAATCAATTTGAACCATGCTTTGATTGTAAAACAAACAGAATGTGCCAGAAGACACAGCAAAGTAATTTTGCTTCATGGTAACGCACCATCACAGACCTCAAAACCAGTTAAAATTAGACCACTTTCTTATACCAGGTACAAGAACAAACTCAAAATCGATGCAAGACTTAAATGTAAGACCCAAGACTTAAAAGAAAACGTAGGCAGAAAACTATTTGACATCAATCTTAGCAATATATTTTTTTAAATCTATTTCTTCTCAGGAAAGAGAAACAGATGAAATAAATAGAATTACATTCTATTTAAAAAGTTTTTCAACAGCAAAGGAAACCATCAACAAAACGAAAAGACAACCCTATTCAATGGAAGAACATATCTGCCAATGATACCTCTGATCTCATGGTAGGAGTTAATAAATATCCAAAATTTATAAAGAGCTCAATATCGAAAACACAAACAATCCAATTAGGAAATGGGCAGAGGACCTGAATAGACACTTCTCCAGAGGACATACAGATTGTCAATAGACATGAAAAAGCTGCTCAATGTCACTAGTCATCAAAGAAATGCAAATTAAAACCGGAGTTATCAGCTCACACCTGGGCTATCATCAATAAATCAACACACAAATGTTGGGCAAGGATGTGAAGAAAAGGGAACCCTTGTGCACTGTTGGCAGCATCGTAAATTGGTGCAGCTACTATGAAAAACAGTATAAAGGGTCCCCCCAAAAATTAAAAAGATAACTAACATGACACAGCAATACCACTGCTGGGTATTTATCCAAAGAAACCCAAAACACCCATTTGAAAAGATATACACCCCTACATTCACTGCAGCATTATTAACAATAGCCAAGATATGAAAGCAACTCAAGTTTCCCTTGAGAGATGAATGGCTCAAGATGTGGTACATATATATAATGGAGTATTATTCAACCATAAAGAGAATGAGATCTTGCCATTTGCTACAACATGGATGGACCTAGAGGGTATTATGCTAAGTGAAATCAAGTTATATAAATGTCTAATATCTATGTTGTACACCTGAAACAAATATAATATTGTATGTCAACAACTGTAATTTAAAAATTAAAAAACACAATACAAGCAGTCCAACTAAAATAAGAAACATCATGTTTCTGCTCAACCAACTCCAGTGGCTTCCCATGTCATTGGAAATATAGGTCAAAGTCCTTCACACTGCCTTGTAAAACTACATGTGAAACTACATCCTATTATCTTTCCGCATTCCTACTACTTAGCGCTAACCAACAACACTGATGTTCTTGTTAGGCCCTGGGGAAATTCCTGTTTTTCTGCCTGGACCATCTTTCCCCACAGCCTCCAAATTTATCTACATGGTTCTCTGACATCCTTTGGGTCTTTAATGAACTATCACACTATGAGACCTTCAATGGCTACCCAACTTAAAAGCCCAAATTGCACCCCTCTCTCATATACTCCCAATCCTCTCCCCTGCTTTGTTTTCTATCCACATCAGTTATCACTATATAACATGCTATATACCTCATTTATTTATTTTCTTTATCATTTTCCTCACTAGAATGAAGACACAGAAGGCATTGCCCATTTTTGTCACCTAGTCCTTTGCTACACACCCAACCCAAACACGTACACTTGATCCATAGCAGACACTCAGTAAATATAAATAGAATGTATACTACTAGTGACATAAAAATTAAGCTTATTTGCTTACCTCAATCATATTTTTTTCCAGTTCTTTGCGTTTGTTTTCTTCGCCTGTCAGATTTTTCTTCTTGAGATCAAAGGCACTTTGAGATTTAGTATTAACTCGCTGAGCTTCTGCAAGAGCATCTTCTAAAGATCGGAGTACACCTCCAATTTCCTGTAATCAAATATATACAATTAAATCAAAATACTTAAAATTTGTTCATGTCATCATTTTCTTATATGATTTGTACATAAGTTACTTTCTAAAAGATTAGACTGACAATGCCCAGTGAATCCTAAATAATCATTGTACATAATTTAGCATTTGCTCAGGCTATATTATGTATTTGTACATGTATGTCTAACCTTATCTTTTCTTTTTTCCAACTCCTCTATTTCATGATTAAGCACTTTTATTTTTTTATCATTCTCAGACAATTCCTCTTGAAGCTTTTGAACTTTATCCTGCATTTCTTTTAAGTCCTCAGCTGAGCGTTCTTTGGTATCTTCAGCAAGCAAAAACTGATAAGCAATATATAAACGACTCAAATGTTCTATTTCCCTCATTACTTTTTGATACTCCAAGTAGGAAGATCTTTCCTGAAAGAGAAATCAGCAATAAAGCACAATTCAGAATTCGTATTTTTAAACAAATTTGGAAAGAATCAAACTGCAGCAACATGTATAAAATTTCCCATGACATGACAGATTTTGTCTTAGACTAAGTAATCATGGATTATAAATTTTAGGAAACCTGAAATAATATCAGAACTCTGCCTTTTTGGATAACATTACACCAAGTCTAGTGAATCCTATGTGGCTATTTCTTTTAATACATAATCAGGCAGTTGGAATTAACATAGAAATATGAATATATAGATGCATAGACTGGGGTTCATGAGTCTAAAAATACAACATTTACAACTATCAATAATACAGCATTAATATATTTTTCTAGTCTAATCATCCCTCTTTATTTACCAAGGATTGATTCCAGGACCCCCTGTGGATACAAAAATCTGCAGATACTTAAGTACCTTATATAAAACTAGAGGCCTGGTGCACGAAATTCGTGCACGGGGCGGTGGGGAGAAGGCAGGGGTCCCTCAGCCCAGCCTGCACCCTTTCGCAATTGGGACCCTTCGGGGGTGTCCTACTGGCAACTGGACATCCCTCTCTCAATCTGGGACGCTGCATGCACAAGTACCCATACTATTCATACAGATAAAAGGCATCTTGCTGTTGTATGGGCAGCTACATTTTTTTTGCCCTGATTATAAAAAGTAGTACATAACATGATCCTTCAAAGGCAGTAGTACCAGTTTCCCCATCTTATGGGTGGAAAAACTGAAGCAGAGAGAAGTTAAGTAAATGGCTTTGTCACATAGTTATAAGTGTCAGAATCAGGGCTGACCATAAAATGTGCAAGCCAGAGTCCATGCATGTCATCGCTGCATCATCCTGTTTTTTCAGTGTTAGAGTAGGATTGCCAGGTTGTAATTTTTAAATCCAAGAGACTGTTCCCAATATATAGGGTAGGGTCCCTAGGCCTGGCCAGTGGTCAGGGCTGATCTGTGGGGCGACCACAGGGGCAATCTGGGGGCCCCGACTGGGGGCAGTTCCTGCATTGAGTGTCTGCCCGTTGGTGGTCAGTGCGCGTCATAGCAACCGGTTGTTCCGCCGTTTGGTCAATTTGTATATTAGGGTTTTATTATTTGGATGGCATAATACAAAGCACTCCTATTACCTAAATGCCTACCCAACATTCATTCATGTAATTATTCTAAGCACTTACACAATACTAAGCCTGATTCCCATAAGGACCATCTGGGGCACACAAAGTAACTATTAAATTTCCTAATATGCAGACAAAGAAACCAATTCAGAATAAATGACCTTTTCATGTTGTCAGATTTAGAAAGAATTTGGCAAAATCAGGTGTGAAACCTAGGTTTAAACTGTAATCTAGTGTGTTCCACTAAATCATGCACACGGGGTACCTTCAAGATCACGATGTTTCAGTTTTTCAAGTGACACTTATTCTACTATATGGATTCAGAAGAACTTTGAGAATTTCAAATGTTAATAAGAATTTAATAAATTCTTAAATGCCTAACTTTAAAAATGTGCTATATATGTACCTTCCCTGAAACATTGATTATGGCGTCAGAAATTGCAAAGATAGAGAAAACTTAATTACCTGGTTCAATACCTTTCATTTCCCCAAATGCTTTCAAAGTAGTAATTGTAGTGATGGCCCTTATATCCTAGAAGTTACTAAGAGTTCTGTATCTTTAAGAAATGCTGTTCTGTGCAATTCTAATTATCCAAAAAAATCTAGAGTTCTCTTCAAAGTATTAAATTTTGGCATATCATTATCTAAGATTATCCAAAATCATTATGACTTAATAGATATAAAGTTCATGTTATCTAGAGTGGAAGGCTGAGTATGGGGTACCAACTCTAATTCTTTATCTCATCCCAGAAAATAATCCCTAAGACAGTGATGGCGAACCTTTTGAGCTCGGTGTGTCAGCATTTTGAAAAACCCTAACTTAACTCTGGTGTCGTGTCACTTATAGAAATTTTTTGATATTTGCAACCATAGTAAAACAAAGATTTATATTTTTGATATTTATTTTATATATTTAAATGCCATTTAACAAAGAAAAATCAACCAAAAAAATGAGGTGACACACGTGTCATAGGTTCGCCATCACTGCCCTAAGATGTAGTACATATTTCATCCCTATGTATATGATCTTGGATACATCACAAACTGTGAGAGATTCTAGCTTGCTGTCCTCACATATACATATATACACATACCTCTTTTAATTTCTGAATGGTTGGAGTAATTTCTTCTTCAAGTATCTGAAAAATTAAATAAAATTTTTCAGTATGTAAACTATCATTTAAAACATTTAAAAAAGGAGTCGTACAGAAGACTGGAAAACTGAAACAAGGGAGGGGATTTTCATCTTTAGAGCAGAGAAACTTTAAATGCAAAATGACTCTCTTCTCTAAAACTGTTTTATATAAATTTAATTACCGTCTTAATTTCTTTCAGCTTAGCCTCCTTTTTTTCTATAGTTTTTTGGGCAGCTATTTTTTTGTATTCATACATCCTGGTTCCAGCTGCTTCTTCTATCATGGACAAAATCTAGAAAGAGAATTTTATTGTTTTAAGAATCTAAGACAATAAATCTCATTGAAATTTACATTAATTATATCACTTAAAGCCTTGACCACACTAAGAGCTTATCAAAATAATGGCCCAAATGGATGATAAAAGATAAGTGCATAAAAATGTACATGTTAGCCATAACCTTCACATTCCAGAAACATTTCTGGCTGTCACTCCAATTCTAACATCAAACCTTATGCTATACCAGAGTACATTTCTTTTAAATTTAAAAGCCAGTAATTCCTCACTCCTCTTTTCCTTCAAATATAAGCCTAAAAAAAGTAAAGGCTAACACCATTCAGCTTTCATTTTACAAGTTTCTACTTAAAATTGTCCCAAGTAAGACTTGAGCCATTTTGTGCCTAGAAGGATGAAGCATGGCATAGCATCTGCATCCCAGGCATGGCACATGCTTCAAGAACTTGGGCAAATAACATAATTTTCTCTGTGCCTCAGTTTCTTCATCCAGAGAGTACTGGTAATATCTCAGAGCACTGCTAATATAATTCATGTGAAAGGCACTCTTAAAAAGGCAAATATTAATCAATTATAATTGTATAAGAAGTGAAATTTTTCCAGCACTCAGTTTTCAGAAGCTTCTACTCAGGACCAATCCCTATCTCAAGAGGATTGTTCCTCTGGAACTCGCTTTGAGTTCTATGTATTTGGCAGTTTTCAAATTAGAAGTTTTTCCTTAAGATGTTATCTAAAGGAAATAAACATGCCCCACATTCAAATTAGAAAGGTATTATCAATTATCAGTCTTATTAGCGCTTCTCAATAACTAATGAGCCTGTGTTCTCTAAAAAACATTCATTCCTTCATACCAACTCTTCTCAAGGGGGCGCCAAGAGAAAATATGCCCTAAGTAATCCATTATAGGCAATGAATTAATTTCACTCAAATCTTTTTCTGTAGGATTTTTCTATAGGGTTTAACTCTGATATGAAACACCGGTTGAGGAAAATTGCTTTACACATTCAAAATTTATTTTAATATTGGGCACATAAAACTCCTAGAAGAAAGCATAGGTCGTTAGCTCCTTGACATCCTTGCCATCATTATGATGTCAGAAGCTGCAAAAATTACAGAGAAAACTTAATTATTTGCTTCAATACCTTTCATTTCCCCAAATGCCTTGAAATTAGTAATTGTAGTGATGGACCCTGGTATCCTACAAGTTACTCACTCTACCAACAATAGTTACTAAGAGTACTGTAACTTAGCAATGACTTTTTGGATTTGACACCAAAAGCAAGTACAAAAAAAGCAAAAATTAACAAGTGGGACTACATCAAACTATAAAAAACTTCTGCACAGCATAGGGCACCATCAACAACATGAAAAGACAACCTACGGGAGAAAATACTTATTAATCATGTACCTGAAGAGGTGTTAATATTCAAATACACCAAGAACTCAATAGAAAAACACACAAATAATCCAATTCTAGATGGGCAGAAAATGTGCGAATATTTTCCCACAGAAGACAGATGGCCAATAGGTAGATGAAAAGGTGCTCAACATTACTAGTCATAAGGAAAATGCAAATCATAACTACAATAATATGTAATCTCATACCTGTTAGGATGGCTATTATAAAAAAGACAAGAAATAAAAAGTACTGGCAAGTACATGGGAGAAAGGGAAAATCTTGTGCACTGTTCATGGGATTGTATATTGGTGCAGTCACTGTGGAAAAACTTCCCAGTTTGGAAGTTTCTCAAAAAATTAAAAATAGAACTACCACATGACGCAGCAATTCCATTTTGGGGTATTTATGCAAAGGAAAAACACTAACTTGGAAAGATATTTGCACCACCATGTCCAATGCAGCATTTACAACAGCCAAGACATTGAAACACTTAAGTGTCCACTGATAAATTAAACAGTGAGGTACACAGGCATACCTCACTGTATTGCACTTCACGGATGTCCTACTTCTTACCAATTGAAGGCAAGACCTTTCACCAGATGATTTGCTTTATTGCAGTGGTCTGGAACTAAACCCACAATAACTCTGAGGTATGCCTGTATATATGATGGAATGTAATTCATCAATTTAAAAAAAGGAAATTTTGCTGTTTGTGACAACATGGACGGACCTTGAGGGCATTATGCTAAACAAAGTTCAGAGAGAGAAAGACAAATACTGTATTATCTCACTTATATTCTTTCTAAAAAGAAAACAAAAACCAAACTCATAAAGAGAACAGATTGGTGGTTGCCAGAGGTAGGGGACTGGAGATGGGTGAAATATGTGGTCAAAAGGTATAAACTTCTAGTTATAACATTTATAAATCATGAGGATACAATGTATAGCATGGTGACTTTAGTTAATACTGTATTTGAAAGTTGCTAAAAGAATAAACTTTAAAAGTTCTCATCACAAGGAAAAATTATAAGTGTGTGGTGATGCTAAATATACTATAATGATCATTTTGCAATATATACATATTGAATCATTATGTTGTGCACCTGAAATTAACATCAATTATATTTCAATCAATAGTTTTTAAAATCTGTTTAACATGGTCTCACACCTTTTGTTATAAATCCTTGGGTTAGGATTATTGACTCCAATTTATGGATTAAAAAACTAAGGCTCAGATGGTTATGTTATAAAATTAAAATAAAATATTGGGCAAATGTTGAAAAAAAAACTACTTTCTTTACTAATCATTCGTACATAAATGTTTTCAAGAATAATGGAAGAAAGCATACTAAAAATTGATTATCTAGAAGATTAAAACAATATATAATTATTACTATTTTTACTGTCCATTAAGTAGTTCTCTTACCTCTGGAGGTTTCATATTCAATACTTTTGTGATTCGGCCCTGTAAATAAAATGGTAAACTTACCATAATGATAACAAGTTAAACGCATATATGTTTATCTGCACTGAAGCTACTGTATCCTAATACATCAATCTTCTGGGAGTTCTTTTTTCTGTATCAGGAGTGGGGAATGTCCAGCCTGTGGACTGTATAATATGCCCGTGAAATCATTTGGTCTGGTCCTGCCAAGGCATTAGGGGTGAGTTAAATGTTTGGCCAAATATAGCAGGCTAATTTTTTTAAGCTGACAATTTTGTATGGCCCAGGAATGATGTTATAAATATCCAAATGGCCCTTGACAGAAAAAAGGTTCCCCACTCCTGTTTTGCACACAATAAAAGATGTTTCTTTTATTTGAGACTGAAGGTATCTTATAATTCTAGAGTGATACAAATTACAGAAGTTAATAAATGATAGATACAAAGTTAACTCTGCTCAGATTTCTGCAACAGTTAATACAAATGATATAGAATTTGCCAATTTCAAAACAGGCATATCAATAAACTTTTAGCATAATTATTGAATATTTCCTGGTCTTTTTGAAAGACAGCCATCCAAAATAATTTCTAGAAATAGACTGCATACTTCTAGGCCAAGGGTAGGAAACTTTTTTTCTACCAAGGGCATTTGGATATTTATAACATCATTTTCGGGCCATACAAAATTATCAACTTAATATTTAGTCTGCTATATTTAGTTAAACATTTAATTAACTCATCACTAATACCTTGGCAGGGCCAGACCAAATTTCCAGGGCCTTATATAGCCTGCAGGCTGTTTTAGGCATTAAATAGAATAGTAAAATGTTTTCTTTCAATGCTAGAAAAATCACCAAAATCATTCAGAGACAAAAAAAAAGAAAAGAAAAGAAAAGAAAAAGACCTGCTATTCAACTCTCAAGAGAATATTACTTAAGATTTAGTTTCATTTGAAGTAAATTTTCAGTTTTGAGGCTGTGATGTATTGAAAATAATTTTATTTTGGTATCATCAGGATCCTGCCATTGATCTTGCCTTAACTTTCTAAAGGATAGCTGGATGGTTCAAGTGAGGTAATATAAAGGCAAGATAACATTAATTTTTATTTTTCATTTGGATAAGTCTTGTAAGAAGAAAATTATTTAAAATTTAATATATATTTAAAATAAAATACTTTAATCCAATATTTTTAAATGAAATACTAAGACAACATTTAAAAATTTTTTAGAGTGAGCATGTATTGTTCTTCTAGTAAGTAACCAAGTAAATCAAGGAAAATTACTTCTAGATGTTCTTCAAAATTCAAATGTATACAACACTTTAGAACACATCAGTACAAATAACTTAAAACCCCATTTCTTAACAGGTGCCCAAAGACCAATAGAATAAAAAAATGGAAAAGTCTAAAAAGAAGCACTTTCCCTTTTGTATAACTTAAAACAATAAAAAAAGTCAAAACCATTGTGAAAGAGATAAAAGCATAACAAATAGAATACCTGCATGATGAGAAAGTGAGGGTTGTTAACGTTAAGGCCAACAGAACAAAAGAGATCCTGTACTCTGGTATTGTTTGCATTTACTCCATTGATTAAATATTTATTTCTGCCACCAATGACCACCTAAAAAGAAAAGTATTTTTAAAGATATAAACACACACACCTTGAACTAAGATAATAAACTCCCAAATATATTATCATGCATTTGTTTGTTTTGTCCAACTGATAAATAAAACCAATCCTGAGCAAAACCACTCTGCAGGAAATGTGACATGGTCGAGAAAACATGAGGTTGAATCAGAACAATTGCTTTCTAATCCAGAGACTTTTACTAACAAGTTATGTAACCACTTACAAATCTCCTAATGTCCCTACACTGGACTGGGTCTCTAGGTCACTTCTTGCTTTGTTTCCAACGTATTTTTTAAAAATATATTTTATTGATTTTTTACAGAGAGGAAGGAAGAGGGATAGAGAGTTAGAAACATTGATGAGAGAGAAACATCAATCAGCTGCCTCCTGCACATCTCCTACTGGGAATGTGCCTGCAACCAAGGTACATGCTCTTGACTGGAATCGAACCTGGGAGCTTTCAGTCTGCAGGCCAATGCTCTATCCACTGAGCCAAACTGGTCAGGGCTCCAACATATTTTTATCCCTGATCATCCTCTTCCTGCAATTTTTCCATTCAGCGTTTAACCCCTCTTCCTCCACCTTTTTGTTCCCAAAGAAACCAAAATCAGATATGAAAAAACTAAAGATAAGCAGTTTGATATCAATCCTTAAAAGATTGTAAAGGGGATTAATAAAGACATGACTTGTGAATACTTGCAAGAAAAGGAGTAAAATGGAGTTCCGGCATGGGTTCATTAAGAACTTACATCAGACACCAGTTTGTTTATATTCTACTATAGCACTCACATTGTCATTTATTGGGTATGACTGTCTCACTCATATTTTGAGGTCCTTAAAGATAAGATCTATTTCTCATTCTTAATTCTCCCTGTTATTTCCCAATGCATTCAAGAATGCCCAGCATACATCAAGCACTTGATAAATACTGAGTAAAGTTAATTTTTCTTTTCCTGACAGGATTATTAGGTTGATAGAACATATATTAATATACTTGAATTACAGACCTAGTACATCCATACTAGTAATTTAATGAAGTCTTTGCAATAAGCTACAGACATATGGACCACATGAGGACAGGGACTTTAGACAGATTAGTTGCAGACTTAGTGAAAATTCCTAAAGAGTGATTATTTGATATATGCTTAATGACATAGAACAGGATTCTGTCACATCATAGTCAATGCTTTTTTAATTTGTTTTTAAACCAGAGACTTTCATTAAAACAGAGAGGGATATGTGTAAGTTACATACACTAAGGTGGAGAATAAATGGGAGTCAGAACTTTTAAAAACAAAACTTTGACAAACTAAAAACATCTATATAATAAAAGCCCAGCAACTGAAACGGCGGAATGACCATGGCCCCTCATCCTGGCTGGCTACACCCCAGCGAGTGGTTAGGTCTGATCAGGCAGGCACGCGAGCAGTTAGGGGAGATCAGGCAGGCAGGCAGAGTTCTTAGGGGCAATCAGGCAGGCAGAGGTGGTTAGGGGCGATCAGGCAGGCAGAGGCAGTTAGGGGTGATCAGGCAGGCAGAGTGCTTAGGAGCGATCAGGCAGGCGAGTGGATAGGGGGCCAGCAATCCTGGATTGGGCCTAAACCAGCAGTCGAACATCCCCCAAGGGGTCCCGAATTTTGAGAGGTTGCAGGCCAGGCTGAAGGACTCCCCCACCGCCCTGCATGAATTTCGTGCACCGAGCCTCTAGTTGACTATAAGAAAAAAGACTTTTAAGGGGAAATATAAGGTCCTGCATCAGTTTCACAAACCTGCTTGCATACAGAAATGGCAATAACATAGCACACATGAAAAAAATTAGTGCAATTTTAAGTAAATCAGATATGAATTCATAAGGTATTATTAACTCTCCAGGGTCATAACATTTAGACATACAGAACACTTAAATATTGCTCTTTGTACCCTCAATAGAAGTTGGATTAATATATAAAACTTTAAGACAGCAATTATGCTCATTATATTGTTCAAGCTCTAGCTGGACCTGTCCAAAACCAGAATGGGTTACCGTAGAAGACGGTAAGATCTCAAGTACTGTTATGACTTCCAGCACAGACAGAGAGGATTCAGCTATGGTTCAAGACTGAAGCATGGCTGAGTGCTTATAATAATAGATGACTTTTCAAATTCCTGTCAATCCTGATGGTAAATGGTAAGATTTGCATGGTCAGATTTTAACATGAGGAAGACATTTTTAAGGAATCGAGTCAGTATTCAATGCATAGATTTCTCACATACAACACTCCTCTCCCCAGTAAAGTCCTATCACCAAAACACAGAGCAGACATGAAAGTTCATAGGTATCCAAATATTTCTTAGCTACTTACCTGCCTTGTTACTGTAATTTCATCATGAACTTCAAATCCTAAAGGACTTTGCTTTTTATCAGAATTGTCAAAGGTGATTGAGACTGAGGCTTTAGTAATACCAGCCTGCCCATTTTTGTAAACTAAATCTTGTAAATTAGAAGCCCGAACCTAAAATTAAAAAAAAAAAAAGTTTATCAATTACAAAACCCCATATTGCACAAAATGGCACTAAAAAATGGGTTTCCTGATATTTGGAAAACCACCCTTGTAGTATTATCCATCGAGTAACCAAGGACAGGCAGTGGGGCCAGGAAAATAGCAGCAACCTCAATGAGTCCATCTTTCCGTAGGAATTTTTCAACTTTAAATTTAATTGTTTTCTACTCATTTCTTAACAAAAGTTCATTTAAGGTACTCAAGGGTATACAGATCTAAGAATTTCACTATTCATCCAATCCCATTAGCAGACCCTGAAAAGGCATTTTAACCTTGGAGGCGGGGTGGGAGAAGGGGGCACAGAATACAGACTCTGGAATGGGCCTAACTGCCTTAAAGTAAGAATACCTGAGTTTGAGTGTTGCTCCAAATAACATAAGAGAATGAACCTTATGCAACCCACCTAAGTTTCTGGTTTCTCAACTTAAAAAACTGAGTAATAATCCCTACCTTTAAAGGGCTGCAGTGAGACAGAATTCCCATAAAGTAAAAAAATGCAACTATTGGCAATAGTTTCCGAGTTCAGTGAGGATTCCCCAAACTTAAATTCACATACATCAGAAAGTTTACACTTTACCTGAGACAGATTGGAGATGCCCAGCAAAAAACAAATGGAGTCCAATATGTTGGATTTCCCACTGCCATTTAAACCCGTGATAGCGTTGAAGAGGGGGTCAAAACCATTGACTTCAGTCCTCTGGGCATAGGACTTGAATCCTTCGAGAATGATGGACTTAATGTGCATTTTTACGACTGACTTGGACAGGTAAGCCTTTGCTAGGAATCCAATGGGCCGCAAAGGAAGTTCTGTACGAACAGAAACAACAACACACACGCGGGATGAAAACCTGGAACCCTATGCGGCGCATGCCAGACTCGCACAGAATGACAGCTCAGAGAAATAGAGCAGCAGCCTGCCAACCCAACCTACTTCGCCGGGTGCAAAGATCTCCTTCTCCAACTTAAAAACATGCAGGAGTTGGTCCTTACCTGGAGACTAATTAACCCATTAATTCAACCTGGAGGTCGGCTACTCTTCCAGGCTCACCTTCCACCGTTATAATACCCGGCCAACAGACCCTACAGGTTATTTCCCATGCCGGTCATTCCCTCTGCCCCGACGCTCCTCGCCCACCCCGGCGTGGCTCCCTCCTTTACCACTCGCGTCCCTGCCCACACGTCACCTTACTGCAGGTCCCTGCTGACTTCTCTATAGAAATCCACTTTGTAGCACCCCTACCCGTGCCCCTACTCTGCTTTCTTTTCCCTTCATTGAACTTAGAGGCGACACTAAACAGTATCTATTTACTCGTCTACCCAACCTGTCATCACCCAAGTTCCTAAAGGATCTTCGCCTCCCCCCCCCACCCCCACCCCCGCGCTGGGTGCTCCCATAAGCCTGACTCCAGGGCGTGCGCGCGGAGTGGGGAGCATCCATAAATACTGATTAAACACACGAATCCCACATATCCTCCAGTCTCCTGCTTCCACTCAGGCTGTTCCCTCGCCTCACCAGGCCTGTCAACACTCCCCCGCCACACTCCACGGCTGGAGAGGAACTGGCCATTCTGCCGGGAACCCTGTAGGGCTAATTTTAGCCCGAGGTCCCTCCTTGCTGCTCTCCCCGCTCCCGGCCCCGCGGCCCCCACCTGCTGCAGGAATGCCAGGCTAGGCCCCACCGGCCGCGCGCCCGCCCGCCCGCCTCGCAGCTGGTCCGGCCGCCTGCGCTCGAGGCCCCCACACGCGCTTCCTGCTCACGAGGGCGGAGAACGGGCCAACCTGGCCCGACTTCGGGCGCTAGAAACCGGCTCCCACCATGGCAGATGCAGCACTCGCCCCGGGTCCGCGTCCCTGCCGGAAATATTTATACCTTTGAATTTCGGCGCGAGCGAAGGACCCCACCTCCTCCGCTTAGTCCATTGGCTGATGCCTAGGAGATGCCTGACTCGGAGGGTTCCATTTTTCCCTCCCACCGAACAATCAAAGTGACGGGAAGATAGGAAAAAAGGTGGCGACAACGTTGGCTCCGGGGCTGCGACGGCGCGGGCCTGCGGGCTAGAGGAGCGGGTGGCATGTGCGGAGGCCGGCGTCAGGCACACCCCGGGCAGCCCCACCTCAGCCTCCGGGCCTCGCGCTCCGCGGGACCCGCCCCGTCTCGGGTGCCGCCTGGCCACCGCCGCGCCCCGGAGGCCCCGCCCCCGCCCCCGCTTGGGTGTGGCGGGCTCGGTGGTACCTACAGCTCCCGCCTGAGAGCGACAGGGGCCGGAGGCTGGGACCAGGTTGGTTCCGATTCCCCAGAACGGGAAGCTGAATTTGGGCTGAGAAGGCGCCGGCCTCTGACACCTCTGTGTCGCATTCTGGCTCTGCCCCTCGCCGACCCGGGTTCTGGCGGCCTTTCCCTCTGGGGTTTCCGGTCCGACGGGACGGGACCGGGCGATTCTATTCAACCGAGAAATTGTGTGGACGGATGGCAGGTGCGGGACGAATAGGTGTTCCCTCCTTACCCTGCCAAGCTGCTTAATCATAAGCCATGGCCAACTAACATTTCAGAGGATTCTTTTTGGAAACATGCTGACGACAGCTAACTTTTTTTTTTTTTTTTTTGAGCTCCGGGTCCCAAGGGTTTCTAAAAGCCCCGTAGCCACCCTTTGAAATCGGTGATACTGCTCTCGTTTTACACAGGAGCAAACTGGGTTACAGAGTTAAGCAACGTTTTCCGAGTGGTAAGTGGAGAAGCTGGGGCTCGTCCCCACCCAGTCTGGCAGCGCGCGCTCTTAAGTATCTCATAGTCCCTTTCATCCGGGAACCCAGTGCCACTGGAACCATGTGCGTGGCTTTCTCCTTTAAAAAACATCAGCGCCCCCCCACCCGCTCCCCATGTGACTGGCTGAGTGTGAGCCTATGAACCAGGAGGTCAGGGTGACTCCCATCAGGGCACAGGCCCGGGGTGCAGGCTCCCAGCAGCCACGCTTGTTTCTCATCATTGATGTTTCTATGTCCCCTCCTGTCTCTGAAATCGGTTACACACACACACACACAGGCCGTTTCCCTGGAGTGCGGCACATTGATACCAATGAGTTATGAGGGCGAAAGGGGCCCCATGCGAACCTAACTCGGGGAAGGCCCGCGTGGAGGCCTTGCAAACGCAGACCTGAAGTCACCACAAAGGATGGCCTGGAGTCAAAACCTTTAATTAAAAAGCAGTTGACAGTGGGTAGTGTGTCCCAGGCCAGTATCTTCCCTGACAATCAACTTGGACCTTTACTGAGCCGATCGCCTGCCTGCAGGAGGTCAGGGGAACCTGCAACTTCCCTTTTCTGGACGCTCGGGCACAACAAATGGCGCCAGGGCGAGAACACAGGTTCCCTCCCGTTACTGTTACCTGTGAGTTGTTGGCTGTTAACGGCCCGCACCCGCCTACGTAAAAGAAGCACCAATGTAAAAGAAGCACGTGTCGATCGTTTTTCTTTGTATCCAGTCCCAGAGGCCTCCCCCCACCCCTTTGCGCTCTCCCCCTCCCTGTTCTAACACCGGTAGATTTCAGGTAACCTACTCCAGTCTCAACCTTTGCTGGTAATTTACAGAAACGACCGTTCTCGGAGCATTATCCCAAAACGCTGAGATTCTGCTTCCTGGCAATTGTCCACAGTTTGGCTCAAATAAACCCACAAAAATTCTCTACAGGTTGTAATGTTTTCTTACGTTAACACTTCGGAAGAGCGTGGTTTGAGAGCGCGCTGTGGTGCTAGATCCCGAGAAATAGGAAGCCGGTGAGGAGGGTATAGTTAGGCCATCCGTGGAGAGTTCCTCTCTGGCCGGGGAATGGCTTTGCAGTATTTGACACCAGTCTTACATACACTACCAAATTCTCCGAGAGTAAAAGAATGTGTGTGTGTGTCTGGAGGTCAGGGGGGTTGTTTAAGAAAGAATTCATTTATTTACTCTTATATCTCACCTCCTCCTGTAATGTCAACCATTACAGCCCTAAAACCAATTTCGTTAAGCAGTTATTTTTGTCGACCTTAATTCCTGCATCCCCTTCACTCCATAGCTATTCACTTGTATTGACTCTATTTAATCTTTTTTTAAAATATATATTTCTTTATTGATTTCAGAGAGGAAGGGAGAAGGAGAGAGAGAAACATCAATGATGAGAGAGAATCATTGATCGGCTGCCTCCTGCACGCCCCCTACTGGGGATGGAGCCAGCAACCCAGGCATGTGCCCTTGGTCGGAATCGAACCTGGGACACTTCAGGCAGTTCTATTTAATCTTTATTTACTTTCAACTGTATCCCCTTCATTTCATCACTGTGAATAAAGAATTTTAATTTGCCAACAAACTGTAATGTGAATTTTGTTAAATTGTGAAATAATCCTTATTGGGTGAAATTATAAGTGTAAGACAGATATAAGCCTTTGCACTTATTTAATAGATTAATAACTAGCTGATATGTTTAAGATAAAAGGAAAAAACAAATGTATACAAATGCACTTTTGCCAAATAAAGGCTTCTGGGTAGTTACAAGAATATACACATCTCATTAACTCCCACTAAAAGTATTTATTAAAATGAAAAATGCTTATGAAGGGAGAGAGCTGTATCAATTTTAGAGCTTGCCAGAAATACTAAGGAACTGTTAGTACAGATGGCTTGAAGAAATCACTAATGGGTGAAGTATAACTGCCTCCGGAGATCACAGGAAAGTGGGGAAGACCAAGGCACTGATACACCCCCCAGATTTGGAGAGGAAAGAACTGTTAAGTAAAAGTAGACTACTGGGTAGGTGTATAAATAGAGCACTATTCTTTTATCACCATTGATCAAAAGCTTTTGAAAGCTTCAACTGTGGCAGGCCAGAGGAATCTTAGTTCTTACTGTAAAGGTATCATTAAAGTTATAAAGTGGCACCTAGGAAAAGGTTTGGTCTCCTCCTCCAGGGCACTGGGCGGGACCCTCTTTCCCACATGCACTTTCCGAACTTTGGAATCCGAAAGTAGCTTTTTAAGGGACCTGGGTGAATCCTCTCTCCTGAACTTAGAAGGAAAAATGGAAGAACTTTACTGTAGAAATAAAGAAAGGCTGATTTGTTTTGTTGAGGTTAATTTTGGCTTCAAGGGATGAATTGATAATGACAGGAAGTTCATACTTTAAAATTGTATTGAGTAGCAGCACATTTAGAATACAAGTACAGCCTGTCTGACCAACTTGGAAAGATATGCAGCTGAGCATAATTTAAAAGGAGGATTAGAAAAGGAGGTGATTATATTCACTCAGTTATGGGGTCTGGTTAGACCCATTCATTTTCATTTCAATGGCGATATTGTCAATACTACATGTTTTGTTTGGTTCTTTGAGAAATGCACCTGTTCTTTCATTTCTATTACTAGAGGTCTGGTGCACGGGATTTGTGCACTGGTGGGGGCATGGCCTTCGGGGATTGGCCCTCTGTGGGAGCACCACTCATCCCGGTCAGCTGAGCAGCTGTGGACCCGCCCTCTGAGCTGCTGTTCCTGGAGCAGCCGCTCATCCTGGTCAGCCCAATGGCATTCCCACTGTGGGAGCGCGCTGACCACCAGGGGGCAGCTTCTGCACTGAGCATCTGCCCCCTGGTGGTCAGTGCACATCATAGTGACTGGTCAACCAGTCATTCTGGTTGTTCTGCCATTTGGTCGCTGGGCTTTTATTATATAGGATTTTGCATCTTTAATCAAATTAAATATCTACTTTATCTTCCCTTTCAGGTTCTTCTATTCCAACTTTTGAGTTCCTAACTCTACTGTTTACAACATTTGCTGAATCTTTACTCATATCAATTTATTTCCTCCCATGGTGCTGTTCTGGGATGGGGTAGTCTTGTTTATGGGAGTCTCTTATGCCCTAAGTTGTAAATGAGTCCCTACAGAGCAGTGATGTATTTGCTTCTTCCAGAGTTATTGGGTCTTAAAGATCTCGGAGCATTGGTAAATTATTACTTCTGTTTGTGGTTCCTGAATTATGCAGATATTGTAAACATATCAGTTGCAAGCCTGAGAATTTCCTGTTTATTCTTGTTTTCTGTTATTGATCTTGGTATGTAGTTAACATAATAATAATAATTATATTTTACTAAGTATATCTCTTGAGTTTTAAAAGGAACTTGCCTGTTGGGGAACACACAAGACTTGGTTGGAAAGTTTCTAAGGAAGACATTCTGATAAAAGGGAAGTGTGTGGAAGGCCGCCTGCCCTGTTTAATGGAATTCCAACTTAGGGGAGACTTAGGGGAGTGTCGAGGGCAGAGCCCCTAATTATTCCTTGACTTTTGCAAACAAGTCTATGCATGTGTAGACCCCGGTGTTTACTGGAATCCTTATGCTTAATCCCTGTATGCTCTTGCCTAGAGGACACTGTAAACACATGCGTCCTCCCAAGGTTACCCTACTGATTGCATCTAAAGATAAAAATTCCAGTAAAAGCCCAAGGAGGCAGGCAATCAAGGCTGCCTAGCTGCCATAGCTGGGCCGTACCTTCGCCTTCTCTTTCACAGTGAAACTGTGTTGGAATAATATGTTCATTCATTGGTCAGGGGCTGCTGGTCAGCCCTGGACTCATCAGTCAACTGTGTTGGAGAAGGTCTTCTCATTTATTTTTTATGAAAAACATCAGTGATCTTTGTTTTACTCCTGCCAAGCCTTTCTTTCAGAATCCCACAGTTCACATTCAAAGCAGCTTTTAAAAAAGAATTCTGCTATCAGCTCTTAAAATATTTTTATTCACTACTTATAAAATCCAGTTTCTTCTTTTC